CATCTTGCATGATTATAATTAGCTAAGTCAGGAATCAATGTTTGCAGGCTTCTAAAAATAAAGGAGCCTGCATTTCACTTTTTAGTGTAACAATCCGGCAGCCTCTGGTCTGGATATCTCTTACACCGTGCCAAGGATCAACATCATGAATGCCAACTCTAGTCTGTAAATTAATTATTAATATGTCTATTATATACGAGGAGAGAGAAAGAGAGAGATTTTGGGTGGGCCCGGCATAGGCACATGTATGAGAGACATCACGGTCATGGTGCGCTAACGGGGACGAAAGGGTAAATATGCCAAAGCCACTGAAAATAATGAAACGAGGTTCTCTCCAAGTTGTTGATTTTGTTAATATATTTCGATTAGATTTTGGATGGGCATATAAAGGAATATTCATTGAGTGGAACAGACATCATGAATATTTTAAGATTAAATTTTGAAGTGATAAGAGTATTAGCAAAGCCAGCTCATATGGCCGTATCTGCAGGTGATGGAGTGACAAACCATAATAAAAATTAATGGTCGCAATCACTTACTGATTAAATGACTAAATATATAGTGATTTGTAAATCTACTTAGTTCAATATCAAGATGACCAAATTTGGACGCTAGTATATGTACATGCAGGCTCAACTAACGTAGGTACTTTAGTCTTTTAAGCATCGTTGGCGGATTCAGGGCCGTTGCTTCAAAGGCCTTATTTTTGTCGTTCTAAATTTTGAGATTGATGCTCCTTTCATTTCCTGTTAACCATATCATTAAAAAAAAAAAAGTTTTTATTTATTTATTTATCATTCTAAAAATCGGGGGCACGTTAGTTGTATATTTTGACAGAAAATTTATTGCACTCAGTAGGCCAAAAGCAGACCAAGTTGGTTTTCATACGAAACGAAGATGATAGATTTATAAATAAAAGTTCATTTTTATTCGTAAAATATTTTGTGAGGAATACTCAGCATTTTAATATTCTTATTGGAATAATTTTATTATTTAATTATTAAAATGAAATATTTTTGTTAAATTTTAACAGTCAACGTTAAAATTTTGATGAAAAATATAAAAATACTCTGTTTTTATAATTTTAAGAGTAAATTTTTTTTTTACAAAAATGTTAAAATATTGAGTGCTTATCAATAAATATTTTAAAAATAAAAATGTACTTTTACTTTAGATTTATTTTGAACTTGAGGTGGAGCATGGATTGGACGGTTGAGGCGGTGGCTTTTAGGTTGAGGAAATGGACAGGGGAGACACAACTCCTTAACCAACAACAACATTTTTTTTTCCAGTTGGAGCGACCGCCTCCACCGCCGTTTCTCAAGATTCTTATTTTTCTTTTTATATTTTCTGTTTTCTGATTGGATCCACCATGTGTTTTTTTTTTTTCATATAAATCCTCATTAATCGCCAGGCGACTCAGTTTTTTTTTTTTTTTTGGGATACAAAATGGCAAGTCAACGTTACGTCGCGAGAATTTGAGGAGAAAAAACAGTAAGATAGAACAGGGACGGAAAGAGAGGGATGAATATGGAGATTAGTTTAACTAATTTTAGAGTGTTAATAAATTTTTTTTGGTCTTTTAATAATAAAATATCAAGCGTAACAATTTCATAAACTTACAAGCTCAGTGCTCAATTTTATAATTTTATTGTGATAAATTTATAACTTATTTTTTAAATTTTAATAAGGTTAAAAAATAACAATTTTTATTAAACCTTTTATTTTTCAACATTAAAGATAAACATTTTTGTTTTATTAAAATTTAAAAAATAAATTATAAATATATTACAATAAAATTATAAAATTAAAAGTCAAACTTATAAGTTTTTAGAATCGTTAGACTTAATATTTTTTAATATTAAAAATGAACATTTATATTCATTATTGAAATTTAAAAAATAAGTTGCAGATGTATCATAATGGAGTTATAAATTTGAGAACTCAACTTGTAAATCCTTAAAGTTGTAAAACTAAATATTTTATTACTGAAGGGTTATCTAAAATTAATTAAAATTTAATTTAAATTAATTAGTTCTGTACAACTTAATTGTTCGTTCACAAAGAATATAAGATAGATAGAGTAAAAAGTATAAGTTAATTTAATTTTTGCATGAGAATAAAATTTTATCCTACAGATTATTTAGCCATTCCTCGGTGTCTGCTGTGAATGCTGTATCTCGAATAATCGTTGTAGCATCTTTCCTCGGCCTCAATAATATTCTGTCAAAAACACTCATTTGTGTGTGTGTGTAACTATATGATTCAGTTGGATTTGAACACTGTAACTCAATTAAAAGCAACTCTTCTAAAAATATTTTTTACATTTACAAATATTCAAACTAAAAAATTCGTGCTTAAGTGATTAAAAAAAACACTCATTTCTTTATTATTCAATTCTCAATTTAATCCAAATACTCTGACAAGTAAAGATGGAATGTTTTTATTTTTAACTACATATTTAATGTTTATCAGTAATTTTTATATCATATTTTTCATTTACTCTGTAAATTTTGAATATACATACTTGATCATTATTGATTTGGTCATAGTTTACTTATTTTTTACCAGGGATGATTTGATTTTGAAATTAAAAAAATTTGAAACAGTGTCGATATTAATTTAACAATTGGTTCGATTTAAAAATTAAAATTTTGATAAACACAAAAATTTCAAATTAAATCAATTTTGCTTGCCAATGTATTAGGAAAAAATAAAGTATCTAATATGGCAGGGATGGAATTGGCAAGTATTCAATTTTAATTCCATATTATCACTATCCGTTTTCATATCATTTTCTTGTAATGGCATGATTAAATTCTTCATTAAAAACATGATTAAACTCAAATTTTTTTCGAAGAATAGACGAAACAAATCAACCTCGTAAATAAAGTGATGGCAAGACACTATTCCGGGGGCATGACAACGGGGTTGGCGTGTTTTCCTCTCGGGATGACTTGTAAGAGTTTGGTTGGCCATTGTCTCAATAATTTTGATTTTCCAGAAGGCATGTACGAACTTTTCTGTTTGAAGCTTGAACGTGTTGTTTAAGATAAGCGTTAGTTTAATATTTTGATTAGGCGTTATTCCAAGGACAAGGGCATATAATCAACAAATTCTATTTAAATCTTAACAGGTTAATTTTTGACTTAGTCCATTACTTCATCCAAAAGTTATGTAAATAGTAAAGATCGATATATCATATCATATATCGGACATATAAATATTTTAATTTATCTAAAAAATATGTATTATACAAATTCTGAGAAATAGACATACTATTTATAAATATTGTTGTCTGAAAGTTTTTCTATATTCAAATGTTATTATCCATATCCAACTGTGTTCAAAAAGGGTGGTAGAAGAGGAGTTAAAAGAGTTATTGATAATAATCCCACTAACTAAGGTGTCTTCATATTATTCGATGTAGCAGTTTGGTTGGTTTGAAACTTCTGGGTGTTAATCAAGAGCTTTCCGATAACTAAAGAATTAATAGTACCGTTCTAGTTTAATAATTGACTATGGTATTTTTCTGTTATACGAAGGCTAGCAACTTACTTTGTTATTTTGCCTTTTACTTGTAACTGGTTAATTGATTGATTCGTTTACTTGTGGATAATCATAGACGTGTTATAACCTTGTCGAGTTTTTAATAAAATTTGTAGATTTTAGATTGTTGATAATACATAAATTTCTTTTAGTGTAATCTGAAAACTCTAAAACATACACGCAGAGGTAAAAACTCCAACCAAGTCATCGGCATCAAAAACCTGATAATACGTTGAAGATAGAACCTGGCGCAACTGCATTATCGATCACAATTTAATTTAGGTTGAACAAGAGATTTGAATTCAATAAGTGATCTCCATTCACTTATCTAATGAATATCTTAATTATAATCATTAAATTTCATCAATATTTAAACATTATCAAGATATATTTTTCTTTAAAAATTTAAAACAATTTTTATGTTCAGAACATTTTTCTGCCTTTCTTATGCAGTTTGTCTCCCTCAAAAATTGAAATTTGATAATTTTTAAATATTAATATATAACATTTTTTGACAATCACTTGATTAAATTAAATAATTATTATACTTATTGAGTGAGTAGTTTGTAGACTATATTCACGGCTCCTTCAAAACAACACCAATTCTTTATCTGGGCATCGAAACATTGGGCAAGACAGCAAATACTAAACGACGCTTCACAATTGCTTTCTTTTTGTTTTTTTTTTTTTTCGTATCTATTACTTCAGTTTCCATTTAGAGAATAAAATTACCTAATTATCACATACCAATTAAACTAATTAACAAAGGCATGGCATCCATTTTATTTGCCAACCTTTAATAGGGAAAACGTTTACAGCAAGTCATTTCATACATTTAACAGAGGCAGATTGAAAATAATATCAAACATTCCTCAAATTTTGTAATTTATTTTATAAATATAAATAGAAATAAATATTTCCTCCGATCCTATTTATAAGTCATTTCTACCAACCTCATCAATAATAATACAATAAAAGTATAAGGAATAAAAGTAAGTAAAATTTCAAATATAACCCTTAAATAAAAAACAAAAAGTAAATCAATTATATAATATTATTTTTTCTGTCTTTCTCTTTCTTACTTTTTAAAGATAATTTGAGAATTTCAATTTGAAACAAAACAATTTCATCAACAAATGACTAACAAATGACTTATAAAGTGGACTAGATTATATTTTTAAAAAGTGACTTACATCCTGGACCAGAGGAGTACCTTTCAAATGGAAGGAATAGATGGCAAGTGATCTTTTCCCTGTGCTTGTATCTCGATGAGTTTTTCTATGCCAATATGAACAATCTGCAGCCATTTTTTTTAATTTTTTTTAACTATATCGTTAAAAGAAGGAATTTAATAAATTCTATATATCTATACATATATTTGGCCAGCATAATAAATTCGATATTAATACCTGCAACTTCTAACGGCAATATATTTACTCTCGCAGGTTGCATAGTATGAAAAATGGCTTTCATAACGGAAGCTCTTAGGCGTCTCTAATTACATCGTGAAGTGCACTTTCTTAGGGATGCAAACAATGCAAATTTACATTTGCTGCAGATCAACTTTCCTTGCATTTACATTTGTCCGTAACACTATGCATGTAAAAGAAATATTCCCCTCGTTGCATGCAATCGATAAAATGAGTGTATTCTTACTTGTATTTCAAGAAGCACCGTTAATTGCACAGCTTATTGGTGCTGCCGCCTCGGATGAGTTTCTCATATGGCTTGCCCATGCTTCCAGTTTCTCCTTCAAGTCACAAAGGGTATTACTTACAAAAGCACTTGTTTCCTCAAATTCAGCAGCGACTTCAGCAACAGAGTCAAATTGCTTGGATAACAAATCAAATCTTTCCATTCGAGGTTTGAGTTGTTTAACATTGTAACTGGTCCTAACATATGCATGTCTCCTCTTTAGATTTGTTCTCCATCTATCCAAAACATACTTACATGGAATCTCTTTAACTCGCTCTTGGGACAGTACAGCAAGTGAGTGCCTACAAAGTATTCCTTTGAACTCAAACATGTGGCAGCCGCACTTTACATCATAGTTTACCCTGTCAAATATAACTCCAAACGAAGCTTCTTTGGCTTTGCCTTCTACTATCACATCTTCAATAACATTATAACGACAAACAGAACCTTCGTCATGAACAACAACCATGTTACAATCAGCCTTTCCAACAAATTCTCGCTGAACCTCCAAGAACTTTGCATGAGTGTATGCAGTCTGAAACTGCCGCTCAAATGGAGACTTAGTAGCACAAGCAAGAGTAATACAAAAAGAACGGAAATCAGCTTCAAACTCTCTCTCTGCCCTGGTTTGCAATGCATTATCATATACATCAAGAAATTGTTTCAGCGTACTTTGGCAACCAACAAATCCATCGAAAAAAGGATGCATGATTTCACCAAATCGAATAGTAGACATTCCAGCCCAAAATTCACTCTTTACAAAGGTAGGCACCCAACGATGTCGCTCAAGGTACAACTCATTTAACCATTCACTGTCCTCTAGACCAAATTCCTTCACAGTTGTTTTCCAAGTCATCTCAAATTCATTGGGAGTGAGCGAGTTATATATAGCATTTTTTAAACGACAACTTATCAGCTTGTAGTCAGCACGTTGACCTAGCTTTTCAGGAAATTTTTTCATTATATGCGATAAACACCAACGATGTCGAGCAAAGGGGAATACAATTTTAATTGCATTTTGCAAAGCCTTGCATTCATCTGATATGACGCCTTTTGGTGAAACACCACACATACAGTGTAACCATGATTGAAACAACCAAACAAATGACTTTGTGTCCCTGCATGACATCAATCCACAACCAAAAAGTATAGATTGCCCATGATGGTTCACTCCAACAAAACATGCGAGAGGTAATTTGTATTGGTCAGAGAGATATGTTGTATCCAATGTCACCACATCACCAAATGACTTGTACGCAGCTCTACTCCTAGCATCAGCCCAGAAAACATTCCTCACGCATAAATAATCATCTAAATCAATCACATAGAAGAAATTGCAATCTTGTTCTTGCATGCGCATGAAATATTTATAAAGAGCATTACCATCTCCATCCACACCAATCAACCGGCCTCCAGTTCGGATGTAGTTTCCACAATCATTTGGACTCAATGCCACATTATCATAAACCCCATTTCCAACCGCTGAAGATCGGAAGCTCTTGTTCATCTGTGCTTCAGTTTGATCTTCCGGGTCTAGTTTTCTTTTAGCTCGCATATCAATATGAACATTAAGGTTGACCTGACCAGGACTCAGTTCATGATTGTGATTAAGTGTAACTGTTTGAATACGGTAAAATCCATCTTTACATAAAGAAACATTGATCCTGGCTTCACACTTCTGTTTCCTTGATGGAACACTTCTAATGGGATTTCTTCTCATGTTTCTTCTAAATCCTTCTCTGGAACATGCAAGTATAAAATATCCAACCTTACCATCAGCTCCCTTCCTTGAGGTTCTTGTCATGACGCCGAAACCTACTTGGTTGGCATATTTTGTATAATATGATTTCACCTCATCCTCCGAACCAAATATCATACCGTTTTGGGGTGTAGGAACAACATCATTTTCATCTGAATCACGGATTTCTGGGCCACGTTCCTTTGGTGAATGATAAGCCACATCAACTTCACATTCATTGGCATTAATGTCTAATGGAATAAGTGAATCAGCGTGGTTAGCCATTTCCTGTAAGACAAACAACTATTTCAAAGTTCAAGAAATCAATAATCTTTGGGTTATTTACTTCAACTTGGAAACTTTTGTTTAGTTCAGAATTCGATTCATAACGTTACCTTTTATACATTGAATTATCACTAGAGGGAGATACAACTAAGTCTGCTCTTCAACATAGTGACTTAATGCTGGCCGCAAAATCTTTGGATTATTCGCTACCAAATTTAAAATTAACCATTATTACATGTAAAACCCAACAACTTTTAGCTCAATTCAGAATGAACATAGAAAATAAAACACTTCACCAGACCCCCAAAAAAGTCAAGTATCAATATAAAAAACACCAAATTAGTAGAGTTGCTGAAGACAGAAACGTACCGAGAATGTCAAACAGCTCAGAAATACCACCGGGGCTTATCATGAAAAACGCTAAATATTCTCCTTCCGTGCCCTAATTCACTTCTGCAGCGTGAGAACTGTGCTTGATCCTTGCCGTTCTTCAATCCCCCCGCCTTCACAAGGGTCAACAAGGTTCATTGGGCAGACCCAATTCCGATTCGGGAACGAACTGAGATACGCACTGGGTGGAGGCAAATCATTGAACGCAGCGTTTTGATTTATGTGAAGCAACGTGGGCTGATTTTATTTTTTTCCCCCCTTCAAAGCCCAGTTGGCCCAAGATGCCTTGAGACCCACGGAGATGAAAAAAATCCAGGCCGCGGAAATTCGAGGCAGAAATAGTACTAACAACTAGAAAGTGCTTGGACACGGACTAACTGAGAAGCATAATCGAAGCAGAAAGGCTACTGAACAAAGAATGACGACCTCTGCTATGGAACAAAGCAATTTGGATGTTTCTCACTTCCACCATACGCCTTATTATTGGTGAATCTCTATCTTTAGTGTGTGATTATTTTAGGTTTTTTTTTTTTTTTCCTGGATCGTGGTCGTGCAAAGTTTTTTGGGTGGCAATTGCTGATTATTGGAAAGATAACTATAGATGTTGATGAAACAAAGTTTTCACATCAATCCGAATTCATTTTTACAAGTTTACGCTTCTTTTGGTTTTGTTTTTGGTGTTAAACAAAGATTCGGGTCCGACTTTTGCGTTTTATTACTACCCAACATCTTGAGAAGTGGTAGTTTCAGTCGGTATCTGCTTTTGTTAAGCAACTTCAGATAGTCTTTCATTTTCTCTCTAATTTTCTAATAAAAAACTATTGCGAGCTGCATTTTGTAACTTGGAGCGAGGATTGTTAATGGCTTATGAGGCTCTCTATCTCTATTGATTTTATATTATATGTAAATATAAATATATAGATGTGGTAATGTGCGATACTTGTTGGTACTTGGCAGTTGTTTCAAGGAGCGTTTGCAATATAATCCATGTTATAACATCAAACAGCTTAATATTTATAATATTTTGTGTTATTACTGATTTATTATATTTATCAATAATATATCATTATATATTAATAATAAATTTTTTATAAATTTTTAAATTTTCATTGATAAAGCCCTTATATATATACAATAATAAAACCTTTATATGTTAATGATTAAGTTCTTGTATATCAATAATAAATTCTTTATACTCTCAAATTTTTAAAAATTTAGTTTATATTTTTTGGACACAATATTTTTCTGATATCCTTGTTTTAGAAGTTTTTATCCCTTCTGAAACTACAGCTGCTGTATCAACATATGATTTTCCGTCCCTGTTTGTTTGTAGTGAGGAGAATGTATACTTGCTTTGCAAGAAGTTATGCGCTGATGGAATAGCAGATGCTGACGGTTCGGACCTTTTTGTCGTTTTCATTTCCAATGAAAAGAAGCAGGCATGTTTTAATTTTATTTTTTATGAAACAACATTTCACCTGCTTATGGAGTGTTTTGTTGACCTTATTTGAATGGCACAATTTTTCGGACTAGAGTTCAGTTCTTCTTAAATATGCCATTTTTTTTTTATTTTTCGACGTCATTGATACTCTATTGATGGTGATGATGATGATGTAGAGCATATTCACGCGCACACGGAAGGTGTGAATGACAGAGAGCGCGCGCGCTCCTGTTCTTGCCAGTGAATTAGGGACTGTCAATAATTGCTATTTATAGTGTAGCCAGTGTTTGCCTCTTTCATATCTGCTGTTACTGTTGTGCTGACATGCAGGCAGGGTACTGAGAACATGTGCATTTATCTACACTGCCCCTTTTATACATCAGACAGTGTATTGGAGTTTCTTTTTATTTGTTCCAAATTCCAAAAATTCAATTTGCTTTTCATTAGTATTTGTTTTCAACTCTCTGTAGATTGCACTATGGCATCAAAAGGCTAGCAAAAGAGCAGATGGGATTGTTCTCTGGGATTATCATGTCATTTGCATTCAGGTATATCTAAACACGTTTTTACTGTGAATCAGTTGACAAAACCTGCTCACCAAGTTCTAGAAGCAGTACAAATGTTTATACTAGATTTGGTGATCAAAAGGATTTTTTATCATGCTTCTTTGTGATTGATATTCCAGAGGAAAAGTGCAGGCAACTCACCCCTAGTGTGGGACTTGGATTCAAGTCTTCCGTTCCCTTCACCTCTAGCTTCCTATGTGTTGGAAACAATCCGTCCATCTTTTCAACTGTTTCCCGATTATCATAGGTAATGCACCATCAGTTTTTCTGTGATTATGTTCTGCTTTATCAGCGTAATATGGTGCATTAAAATGTAGTCATGTTCATACTGCAATTGTTAGTCACATTTTGCTGCTCACTTTCTGTTTAAGTAATCTCTGAATCACCTGGTGAAGGCGCGTCAGCTTCCACCTTATAGAGTCCATGATTCCGTGCATGGCTGTATATCCCTGCTCATTGATGATATAAACAAGTCTTGATTAGCTTTTTTAGTTTAATTATTTCTTTTAGGGTCAGAGTCTCAGAGATGATAATTAGCTATTGTCATCCTTTGTGGGGTCCGTGCATGTTTTGGTTTTTGCCATCATAGGACCCTCAACCCAGTTGAACAGGATGAATACTCAGTTTTATTCTTGTTGAAAGATCAAGACTCAAGTTGTTTCTTTATTTCACCGGGATAGTTTAAATGTCTGATCAGTGTTCATTCTTAGCTGAATAAACAACTTTAAACTGCAATGGCTATGGCTGGTCCCAAAAAAAAAAACTGCAATGGCTATGGTTTTTTACATTGCGAATATTTGTGAATTCTTGGAATACTTGATTTAAGTACTAATGAATGCTTTTCAGAATACAACACTTGTACTGTCAAAATTTAGTAAACAATGATATCTCATTGGTCTTTGAAGACAAACCTTATTTTGAATTGATAAATAACCTTTATTGATGCATGAAAGACAAAATTATCATCCTAGCATGTTTTAACGCAAAATATTGGAGTATATGAAAAGGCTTCTCTGATTATCAGGTTATTCCGAATTGTGCATGCTCCAGTATTTCTTCGTTGTTTTGCATCTGATAGAAGACATATGAAAGACCCTGATGGAAAATGGATTGCAGAACCTCCTTTACATGAACCCATAGTTGCTGAAGGTAATGAGTGGCGACAATGTTAACAAATGGATCATCGTTGCTATAAGCAAAATCAAACGCATTGATTCAAATATTCTTTCATGACTATAGTTTGGTAAACTTAAATCCTTGGAAAACAAGGTTTCCCATAAATCTTTTCTATTTTATGCTCCTTGTTTTTTTAACATGAAGATTGATACTTTAGATCATATTCTGCTATATATCGGATGAAATGAAAGAATACCAATGGCAATAACGTATAATCATAATTTATGTAATTGGTATCAATAAATTTATTTTTCTAGATGAGCTTAGAGGCCCATTAATTTGTTTTGCTCATTAAGGAACTTTAACTGCGCAGATGGAACAGTGCACAACCTAAATGAATACTTCAACATATCTGATGCGGATGCTACAGATAGCGGCATTGATTCCGTCAAAGGCGCAATTTTTACTCAGAAATACGGTGTGGTAGCGAAGGAAAATCAGCTGGAAGAATTCTTTTCTGAGATCTTACGGTAGCCACCATTTGATTGCTAGACACACACTTGCCAATGGCGGTTTTAAATGTTAAGCTGCCACTTGCCAGTGCTTTACTCGGTTTTAAATGTTAAGATGCCGCAGTTCCTATCTTATTGTTTGTAAACATGGTTTCTCATGAAATGTTTTTAGTAGAAATTTGTGTTATTTTGTTGAGATTGCGGGGAAGGAGGGCGCCAGGGAAAACTCAACTAGCATCATCATGTATTTTCAAAGTCAAGGTTGTATATAAAATGTTTACAGTCACTCCTTTTGCCACCAGTACGTAACGTATCAAGATTATTCAAAAATTAAATGATGTGATTAAGTTTTAAACATCGTTTCTTTGCCCATTAATGATCTTCCATGGTAGAGGAACGTTGTCTCCCCCGACCCTTTTTCTGGAGTTGGTTCAAGTGAATCTAATCAAAATGTTTTACATAAATTCTAGGCTCTATATGAATTGTGTAACATCCTAAAAAATTTAATTTAAGATTAATAAGTTAATTAAGAACAAATCAGATGATTGAAAGTTAACTTAGATTAAAAGATAATGTATGGAAGGTTAATGGATTTATCGGACCTTAATTAGGGTTTAGAATTGGATTCTAGAAGGTATTGGGTTACATTTGAGCACAATTAAATGAACAGTGTTTGGAATATGAAATTTTGATTTTTGGCCATAGCCAAAGTTTTATTAGCTGCCGCTAAAACTTGATTTTTAAGCTTTTAGAATCGTATTCTAGTTCAGAAAATTAAAGAGTTAATTAGGAGTTCAAAGGTGAATGAGGAGAGCTTTGTTAGGGTTTATTGTGAGCGTCCAATTGAGTCTATTTAAAGCTTCTAATCACTTGAGTAAATCCCTAAAACCTCTTCTCTTTCTTTTTTGTGCATTTTCATCATGATTTTTGAGCAAGTCTTTGAAAATTCAAAAATGAGTGGTGAGTTTGTCTAAAATTTTGACTTTAATGGAATTAATGAGAGTTTATTTAAGTGTCTAACCTTTAGGTTATGATGCTATCAATGTTTTAGGATTTCAAAATGAGGTTTGGAGTAAACCTTAGAGCTAATTAGTTGAGTTAGGGAGGTTATAAGTTATTAGTAGCGTTAATTAGATTAATGAGATTCTAAGTGAATTAAGGGAACCTAAAAATGAATTTAGTTGTGGGTAGATGACCACAATGACATTTTTGAATTTAGGCTTTAATTAAAGTTAATTAGTTATTAATGATTATTGATGTGTTTGATTGTAAATTACCCATTGTTGGTGCTATTGAACTTCTGGGAGGCTTCATTAGATATTCACGAGTACTCTTAATTGGTAAATCAAGAGTTAAAATAACCGAGAATTTAATTATAGTATATCATTGTGTTTGCATTTACACTTTGAGCATTATTATGGATGACTTGAAATGAACTTACAGATGAATATGTTGATTTTAAACTATTACCTAAATATGAAACATGACTCATTGTGATGAAGTGTTTGGTGATCATATTTATATAGATATTATTTAGTATTTGAAATATGGATTGGGCTTTGATTGGTTGTGAGTTGGTTATATAACGAGCTATTGTAAACTATAGTGTACTGTAAACTGCAATAAGCATGCAAATTCTAGAAATTATGATGATGAATCACTATGATGTGCATGAGTTTAGATTTACATATATTGATTGAACTTGTATGATCATAATGGGTGGGAGATTATCCTAGTATAGTAGAGCGATTATGATAGAAAATCCATATGATGTAACCTCCATTGAGTTTGCGCATAATGGTTGGCATACTTCATTATTATATGTGCTTAGTATTACTGACAACCTACAGGTGTGGCATGAGTCAGGCACAATACTCAGTATCATTGATCCTAGATTGAATGGTGTGAGTCGGGCACTTTTAACACCTTGAAATTTGAGTAGGGGGAATCCATAAGTGGGGTGACCCTTATGGCCGGGTGAGTGTGGAAGCCTTTGGCCAGGTGACCCTTCACAATTGAAAAATGGGACTAGTCCTAGTCACATAAGCTAAACCTATATGAGATAATAGCCTATGGATTCGGTCAGATGATATAAAGAGTGGTATAATGTGGTTGCATTTGATCATATAAAACACATTATAAAGATGTATTGTGAATAATGTTAGTTTGCCTTATATGATATTAAACACTTAATTGTTATGATTGCCACACTTTAATATGTTTGATTAAAATACTTGGTTACTGAGATATTTATCTCACTCTTGTAGTTTAATGTTTACAAGTGAGGATCAAGCTAAGAGCAAAGGAGAGGCTTATGAAGCTAGAGACTGAGTAATCAATTGTAATGTTTCTAATTTTATCTTTTATGTATAATTTGAATACACTATTTGTCAACTAGAGGTCTTTCATATTAACTTATATTTGTTTGAAGTCTACTTACATTTGTAGTCTTAAACATTAAATTTAGTTATTTTTGAACTTTCTTAGCCATAGAAGGGTCCAAACCCCTAATTTGACCATGGTAGTGTGTCAAGATAATTTAAACAAGTATATTTTAACAAGTTAGATGAGTTTAACATGTTTTGAGTGATTATTTAGCTTGAATGTAAATAATTATATTTTCACCCCCTTATTATGTGCTTTATGGTAATCGGGTGGTTAACTTTTGTATTAAAAGTTGTTTGATGGTTGTGACTATTTGGACAAATATACTAAGACTTATTGAGTGTGGTTCAAGCCCTTGTATAGGCCAATTGCTTATGATTTGAGATTTGTACACTTAGTTGATGATTTAGAGGTAAAAATGTAAAATTATGGTTTTGAGTGTTTAAATTCTTCATCTAAAGTCCGATTGATATGAAACCAAAATTATTAGCTAGATTATAAAATTGTTGATGTGTGGGTGCTTGAATCACCTCACTCAAAGGTTTGAGTCAAAAGTTATGCTCATCTGAAATTCATAGTTAGGGAGTTGTCATGACAGTTACTATCATATCTTTGGCCGCCACCAATATATTTTCAGCTGCAGCTAAAGGACTTCTCAAGACCATTTGGCCACAGCTAAGAGAGAATTAATTGCAGCTAAAAGCTTCACTGAAAGTGTTGACTATGGTTTAATATTCTCTGACCGCAACCAAGTGCCCTTGTTAAGGGGGGGAAAAAACCCTTTTTACCTCATTTTAACTTATTTTCAACTTAAAGTATTATTCATACTTCCCAAACACTTTTTATTCCAATTTGTAATGGTTAAATATCCTTTTAAACTCAATTTTAAAATTTAATAATATATAAAATCCCATCACTAAAAGGTTTTTTTGCTTAACTTTTTGAGTTTTTATATAACTAAGTTTGATCATTCTCTTTTCATAACATTTTTATTATTAAATTAGTTATAAATGTCATGATAACCCTACCTTAAAGTTAAGCATGTGTTAATTATAGATTTAAGAATTTGAGATTATATAATTTGATATCAGTGACCCAATGATACCAAAGTTAGCCACAATTTCATTAAGGCAGGAAAGATTGGGGGCTTAATCTCTGAAAAAGTTCCAAATGACCTCTTTAGTGAGGTGAAAAATAACCCATATACTATCATGAGGAAAGTCGCACATGGACTTGTGAGGGGACACGTGCTAGCACCGCATTTGCTAGCATAAGGGACTTGGGGCCGTGCTATTACAAATTGCAATAATATGCTTTTAAGCATTTTATTTGGAGGTGGCCAAGAAAGCATTAAGTCTCATAACGATGCCATAAACAACGCAGTCCTTGCTGTTTTTTTCCAGGACAAAATAATGAATACTGAAAAAGCTCTAGAATAACACTGCTAACGGTCAAGAAGCAAAAGCAATGTCATATGCATCAATACATGTTAAGATCTTGAAAGTGATAATAATAATAAGCATAGAGATCCAGCAAAAATCATTAACGTTAGCCAGAGGATCTCACTAATTAAAACTCCGCTCTCTTTTGATCGCCGAGGTCAACAGTAACCTCGAATGTGATTCATCTTCACTGTCTGAAAGCAAGCAATCTAAATCTAAGTTTCATCTTCGCTGTCTGAAAGCAAGCAATCTTGTATTTGTTCCCTGAAAACAAGAATATTAGTGTCATGAAGGATAATTGACAACTAAATTTCATAGCACAGCGTGAGGTAACCAGAAACTTAAAAGTTTACTAAGAAGTAGATAGCAACCACGACACAAGGACCACGAGAAACTTGTGAGTTGTGATCGGACAGCAGAGAATCACGAGAAATCATGCAAACTAGATTGGACCCATGTGACAAAGAATGACTCGCCCTGTTGATTTGTGAACATTATAGCTTGCTATGGGTTTTCTAGACAGAGATGCCAAGAAGCCAAACCTAGAACTGGAACGAAGGACAGCAAAAGAATGCAATTTGTACATAGTATACAAGATTTAGCTTTTTATATTTAATTAATTAGCAAACTTTACTTCCCCAAAGATTACAATCAGTCAAGTCTTGGATGATGGAACCACAAGCAAAGCATCTAAGAATTCCCAGTATTCAATATTTCTCTTGCCCTTCTTCAATTTCATACCAGTGAATATTGGACAATGTGAGTGGAGATTATTATAGGTGCCCCACTTAATCTAGAGATGCACAGAAGGTCCAGCATCCTTAGTCTGAGATGCCACCGAACTCAAATTTAATATATTTTTCGTTAGCAGCGTCACAAAATTACTAATACTCACCTTCGGAAACTCAAATTCCCGTTGCTTAGTTGCTTCGCTCGTGCAACCACTGATTGAGGCAAAAGTGTACAAAATTGCTCCAATGATTTTGTATCTCTTGGAAGTATCTGAAAGCGACAACTTGAACAGCAGGAAGCATCGACAATATTACTACTTCTGAAGTTATCAAGATTGATCAAATCAACAGTCTCAGACTTGTCAAGAGGGCTATTGCAGAGATAACAGAATGATTCTGGGGAAACAGATTCATTGGACTTGAGATTGTATCTCTTCCGGCGTCTCTGAGTTGCCAAAGGGACTTTACCATCAACAATCTCAGGAATCCTGTTGAAATGGAATGGAATGAGTTTTCCAGCTGTTCTTACAATTGTGCTCTCTCGAGATGGGTTTTCTTCCTGCAAACCTATGTTCTATTAATGACTTGCTTATCAAGTTTAAAAGAAACAAATGCAACCTTGAATACAAATAAAAAGGCAGGAAGTTGAAAGCGTTAGCATGTTACTCCATCTCAAAGCCCGAACAATGAATTACTTAAAATTTCATACAAAGCACTTTCCAAGCAGAGTTTAAACTAAAAAAGGTAAGCACTGAGCAAAATAACCATAGCTTACAAATAATCTTTTTAATTGTGAAGCAGAGACGTGTATGCTTGATATAACTTCAAATTCAGCAGTACAATTAAGTTATTTCCCAAAGGATTATACCCAAACAACCTATATACTCATCTGCCCAAGGAAAACCTTGGGGGGCAGGATAACAACTTATACCTGCAAAAGTTGCACAAATGACGAGACCAAGCTATTAATGCCAGAGCGAGGACTAGTAGACAACAATGAGGTCTTTAGACTGCCCTGCCAAAGATCAGGCACATCGCTTATGCAAGAGTTATATAATTTTTTAGGAAAAATATGCTCATATGGATAAAATATGCATTAAATAATGTGGATTTTTAGACAAGCTTGAGAAAATGAAACTAAAAGAAACCTTTTTTGAAAAGAAAATAAAAGAAAGAAAAGATTAGAATGTAAAAAGGCGTGGCCATATAACTACAAACCCATCAAGTCGGCAAAGCATGTTGATCTCTTGGGCGAAACAGTCACGAAGAGGAAGCACAACAGGGATTTCCCACCTTGCATCAACATACTGTATATCTGCAGGTAAGGAATATCCCTGGCCCTGTCAAAACATATAGATAGATATGAAAACCCGTAATATATCCAGGAATTCAAGGATGCCTACTAAAACTCCTCTTTGTTTAGAATGAAAATGGAGAAACATGGGTGAGAGTAAGGATTTGTAAAACGCAAGCAATCTGGTGCAGTACATAACGATTAACCACCAGTAACTATTTGCCGTAGTAAGTGTCATTAAATTAGGTCAGTCATGAACAATATTTCATGAATCACAAACTTATGAAAACTTCAAGTCTTCAATTCAATCAAAATTTAACAACAAACCTTCACAGTGGCTGAAATAACATGGCGAGCAATTCTTGAAATGCAAGATCCTAGTACGATTCTGCTGTATCCAAATTCAGAGGCAACCTAGACAATGATAAAAAAATTTCTACTGGATGAACTTTTCAATAAATGCAAGTTTGAGGCTAAAATAAGTTTTGAGATTCCGATCCTCACCTTTTGCAGGGCCAACATTCTAAGGTAAAGCAATAAATCTTCCTTTCCAGTTGAATCACTAACAGCGTTGACCAGTTTGATTAATTTGTCCCTTCCGTCACTAGACTCCGAAGAGTAAACGGCCTCAATTGGCACAACATGCAACTCCTTTGTTGGTGGGGTTAGACTTGCCACAATCGAACTGATATCTTTGACTGCCTTCTCTAATTCACTGGAAGGAGTTGGAGAAGCGGCACTTTCGTCGATAAATACAACTCCCACGCCAAACACTGGCAATGATCTATCTCTACTTGCATCAAAGTTCTTTAGCGATCTATGTTGCATGTCATGAACAAACTGTAACGCTACCCTGAAAAGAATGCATTTTTATTACGAGAATGGTCGGACGAGAAAGAAACCCTTCGCACTCTATATCTTGTATTGAACGTTTTTTTTTTTCCCGGGATCTCCCAGCATTATGATGCTTGAGAGACCGTTTATGAAATTGCAAAATATTCAAAAATATATTTTAACACCCAACGCCGAATATTTCTGGGTGATCAATGGTTGACTCAGCAACAACTTCATTCACACGTTCCATAAGGGGGGGGGGGGGATATAAACCGCAGTAGACGGAAAGAGAGAGAGGAGAGACCTAGAAGAAGGGCCCCTGAGAATGCAACGAGGACCTTATCCGTTGGAGCAATCATGGCGTTTGAAGTGACAGCGAATCTAAACTTTCCAAACAAATTATTCCTGAAGCAATCAGCGCAAAACCGCCCGTCATCAATACCACCGTAACCGGAAATCGCCTCCTTGACCTTACACTTGATGCAGAGAGTATTAGCGATTGGATTGGCTTCTGCAGCGCCTGGCTTGGTCCGCTCTGCTAATTGGGCGCATGAGGCTACTTCAGCGGCTCCCGCTTCTTCGTCTTTGTAGCAGTTGGACTTGCATGCCGAGCCATTGCATGCCATGGTCGTCGATGCACCTTCTATTGGTTCGTTGAAGTTAATAGGGTTTTAGGTTTAGGCGTTAATCGACCACTCCGTTCAGGGGATGGATCCCCTGCATATCGGGCGGTATGACCGGGAAAACCGACCCGCACCTTATTATATTATTTTTTTTGGAAAAATTACTTTAAGTTACAGTTGAATCATTCTCCAATGCACATAAGAATAATTAATTATCTTGAGTTAAACCTTAAGGCAAATTTTCAAAAAATGACTAGCCAGGGCTGCAAAAAAGTTGATTAAATAAGAAATTAAAATACGTCAACGACTAAAGCCATTAGAAAGGGTATTAGCTTTGAGTGTATAAATCCACCACATTATGCCAAATGTGATTGATAAGATCCATTCTTCGGCCATCGGTCTATCCTGAATGATAATGACCTCTGTGTGTCTGCAGTTTTACACAAAACTATACGCGAATGATAACTTGTGAGAAATAGGACTTCTATAATTCCTATACGTTATGATATTAAAATACTGTTTGAGTTCTTGGAATTTTATGCTTAAGCTGATAGATGCAATTGTAAAGGAGTTTTTTTTTTTTTTTTGGGTGAATGATATAGAATACTGGATTTTTCGGACTACATCTTTTCTGCTGAAGCTAGCCTTCTCGGAAAGCTTTGCACACTCTCATTTACTGAATATAACAATTATACTATAATTATAAAATTTGTAGGCGATTGGAAATTGATGAAATTCTATCATCGATTGAATATATTTATGCAAGCATATAAAAGTAACGTCCACATTTAATACTCATTGCAATGATGAGCATCACGTGCTCATCAAGATTAGGAATAATTTTGACCATCCATTTCAGTCTTACTTAATCTTTATCATCCATTTAAATTAATTTTTTTAAATGTTTTTAATATATATTTATTGAAATAAAAAATATTAAAAATTTTAATATTAAATATAAACTATTTAAAATATATTTAAATAATTAATTTATAAAATTTATAAATTTTTTAATATTAAATTAAATTATTTAAATTACATCTGAACTATATAGTCAAATTGCAAAGTAATAATTTTTTAATGTTAAATTTAACTGCTATATTAAATTTATAGTTTTATATTGATCAAATTGATAATAAACAACTATATTAAAATTTTAAAATTTTTTATATTTTTTATATTAATAAATATAATATTTAAAAAAATTAATTTAAATGAAAAATAAAAACAAACAAAAATTGAAATAAAGAGTCAAGATCTTTTCTGCAGTGCTCATAAATGCAATTCCTATGGAAGAATTCCAACGAGAAGGTACCTGTACAGTCTGCCCTCTACCGCCGATGGACCATCGTATTCTGACATCTCACGCTGTTATTAATTATTAATTAATTACTATTCTAAAACTTCACCACCGAAGCCTGGACGTGTGCCAGGCCCATGATTTAGCCCAAAATTATAAAAGATGGGAAACAATCACGGTTGGGCCAGCATCAACGAAGGAGTTGCATGCCTTTTTTCTTTTTTATTTTTTTTTTTTTACAATGCATGCGTCAATAGCTAGTGTCACATGCTAGCAAAAAATACAAAAACTAACGTCATACATATAAAAGCTTTTATAGTGTTACATTGTGTTCAGTTGCATTTGTATGAAGTAATTAACTTGACGTTGTAAAACCTAATTATATTAAATCCTATAGTCCACTTTACGTACAAAAACATGATGAAATAAGATCAGCACAGTCTAAGGAATTGCAAGTTGTCTTTAAACTACTCAAACCAATCTCAACTTTCTCACCGCTGGCCACTGCCTTAGACTGTGATGATTTGCCAATTGTCATCCTCAGCCACTACAGTCTATGATGACCCATCTTCATCCTCCAGCCGCCGCCACGGGCCACCAGCCCACCACTCACCAATGAAGGACATTTTAAGATTAAAAAGGAAAAAAAAAAAAAAAGGACTTGGTTTGCATGATGTACCAAAATAAGGGCATTCTCAGGAAGAGAGTGACAAGGATGCTGATAAGGTAGGGTCCTAGTGGACTGTTACAGAGATGGGAACAAATTTGAAGTCATAAGAATGTATTAATTGAATTAATGAGGAGAAAGAATATCCAAATGATAAAAGGTAACAAGGATAGAGGAGGTGAGACAAGGAATGATACAAGGGCCATGATACTTGTCTAGTAAAGAGAGAAGGCAGTCTCTATCACAAGAGATTCCACAGAGAAAAGGGCCAATCTGCTTTTTTCAGTCCTTTTTTTTTTTTGTTGGAGGCCATATGCATCACAATTACACCCCCCCCATTCATGCACATGCATTAGTGGAGTCATGTCTTTCTTTCTTTACAATGTAAAAATGAAAAAAAAAAAAGAAAGATTTTTTTTCATTTATTAATTAATCATAATTCTATTCCTCTGTACACCACACGCTCATTTCACCTGCTCCCTGTCAATGGCGGTGGCTTACAGGTAGGGTCCCTTATTTTGTTTAGCATTCATCATCCAAGGATCACTCCTGTTTTGCTCTCATAATCATGTCCTTCTCTGCCTTTTTCCTCATTTCATCTTCAAAATTCTTGTTATCTCATTAAACTATCATTATTTTATTCTCACTGTTCACTCAAGTGACAATCATTCATCAATTTTATAAAGTAGTTTTAACCCATTGGTGCAGTAACCCACCATTCATGTCAGAAATCAAATGCTCATTCATGCCTGAGACTCCTTGCTGATTATAATATTGAGTTCTCTTTTTCTGAACCCAAAAAAAAAAAAAACCAAATATGGGATAATAACAGAAAACATGCAGGCGCTGGGATGTTCGTATTTTTTGAAGTATAAAGTCAATGTATGATTGTATTAGTGTGTTGTAATCTTGTATTATCAAGCTAACTGCTTCTAACTAAAGTACTGATACCCTGCAGAAATTCTGCCATGCTGTCTCTATGCCCATCTTCTTCAAACTTTTGAGCCAAAAAGAAAAGATGCTTTTTGAAAATGCAAAAACCTTTTTAAAATGGGACGAAAACTTTTTGAAGGAATTTCGGTAATTTAATCATCAGGAAAAAGAAAAATAAGAGAGGGAAAATGAAAAGAAGAGTGGTGAGACAAGTATGATGGCGTCGTTTCCTTTTTCTCTCATCTAAAGTTAGGAGATAGCCGAAAACTTTGTGGAGAAGGGAATTTGAGTTTTCAATTTTTATTGCCAGATTTGTTTATTTTCACTTTTTTTTAATAATATATGATATATAATGATAATGATAATAATGTGTTGTGGTGGTCGCTTACTGTCACACAGACATGTCTTGACCCTACTTGTCTGCAAGATGCTTCACTCCTTCTCCATCCCTCATGAGGCTCCACTCACCCATTTCAAATCACTCTGCCTTTTGCTTCTCTTTGATTTCTCTTTTGTGAGACCAAAATAATCACAATAATGACTACAAATGTACAGACTTTGATTAATGTGACTCCTTCAATTATTATCTCGACCATACACATCAGGTCCTTAGTTGGGTTCATGTATTTAAAAGCGTACATATTTACCATTTACAGCTTAAACCTTACTTTCACGCAAGTTGTTACTGACACAAAGATCAAATCTCAGTGACACTTCACCTTATAATAAATTTATAGTAATTTTCAGTATACTTCATAATAAAAGCTATCAGATTGCAGGGTTAGATAAGTTGAGTCCGATGACGTGCATCACTGTCACTGATATTCATGTGAGGCCGGTAATATTTTAATTTTAACAAAGAAAAAATTGCAGTATTTTTGTCCAATTGTGCCCATTCTTGCAGTTCAATTTTCAGCAATTTATTTATTATTTCTTTTTAAGCCTGCGATGGAATACATGAAGGCACTTTTCCCTTCTTTATTTGCAGGCAAATGGTCCACACTTCACACCACCTACATTCATTGTGATTGACTTTGTAGAGAAACTTTGATACTTTTTGCATATCATAATACAGTTTCAAGCGGAAAGCAAGAAGCCATATCCTGTGTAGTAATTAACGGTGGCAATGATAATTAAACGACAAAACGTGCTTTTTAAAGTAAGCTTTTGAAACTAAATACAACAAACGTTACTTATACAGTAATCATGTATAAACATATTTAGTTGTAATTTCTTAGTCACGTCTTCAATCTTTCGTGTTAAAAGAAGGTCTAAATAAAAAGTCAAAAGATCATCCAACCCAAAAACAATGAGAAAAAGTAGTATAGTGTAACTTGCCGGTATGCATATGGGCTGTCTCGTATTTATCACAGCTATATTAATACATTACTGATATTTTTTCTGCTTAATGTGGAGCCTTTTGTTTTGTTGTCTTCAAGAATAAAGAAATCTTGCCTCTGCTCTCAGCATCCCTCGACCACAGGGAAGAGTAATTTGGACAGTTTGATTACTCAATCATGTGCTATCTCTCTCAAAGAATAAAGCTGAGTTGAAATTAATTAGGAAGCAAACAGCTGCAATTGGCACCTACTCAAGTGAGACAGATAATCTCAAGGATGATACTGTAATGTTATGCACAATGAGACTGATCAAAGTTAAAAGTTTGTGACTTGAACGAGAGGAGAAATATAGGTATTGTAAGATAGACCAATAGTGTTAAAAAATATACATCTAAATTACCTTATAATTGACAGTGTAACTTGGTGATGGAATCAGCGTGGTTTCATTCAGGGTATATGGTGTGCTCAAACTGTGAGGTTCCAAACTGACTTGTACAAATTATCTTTCTGATACATACCTCCAATCCCCTTTGATGCTCACTTGTTATGATTTTGTTTTTCATCAGAGCTAAAAACGAAGACCAGTGGATATTTGAGTAACCTGTTGAAGTGTAAAGTACTTGAATCAGTAGGGGAGACCCATGGATGGGACAACAGAGAGAAAATGAATAAGGCAAGAGACGAGAGCCGGTGCTCTGATTAACTGATTTCTGCCTCGTGCAGAAATTTGTTTGGGTATATTTAACAAATCTGTTGAAATGTCTTCCGAAAATGGTACATCTAATCTTAATGGCTAACATAAATAAAATAAGCCTACATAGGGGGAATCCTAGGATTAGGTATTATGCTGCATTATGTAAGGACTAAGGACAACTTCGTTGCCCTCTCAAATCAATTGCCCTTAGGGCATTGCAAATAGATTCTCTGGCAGGGTCCCTTCTCATTAACAAAAAAACTTTGCCATATCCTCCTTTACTTTTGCTGAATATGTTGAGCACGACTCTTCGTTTTCAGAAAGCATTGGTAAAGTAATTGTAATTGAAACCCCCATACCTCTCTCTCCCTACAGTCTACATGGGGTTTCTGTGCTCAGCCATTAAACCCAGATTACTGAAAATAATGGAGTTTTGTTTCTAGCATGACGAGAATTTATTGTATTCCAAGAATACTCGTAAGGTATTGTGTCCCACGACGTAATAGTTCCAAAGCATGTGGGGGCAATGTTGCGTTGCTTGAATATATGCTTTAAAGCGTAGCAACCCTCCATGAAGGTGCAGTCAGAGGGGGTTTATGCAGCTTTCATTCACTAATCACTGCCTTTTTCTCGTGAAGTTTCAACTTACAAGGCAAACGATTTCCTTCCCAATCGCTCTCTCTCTCTCTCTCTCTCTCTCATTCACTGGCTCTGTGACACAGAAAAACACCTGGTCCGTGAATCCTGTACCTAAACATTGTACACTGTAATCTGTTGCCTTCGGTCATTTCATCACTTTTATTCAGGGAAGCCGTTGCTTCTTCACTCTTCCGCTCTGCAGTCATTTTCTCTGTTGCTGCTGTAATTTTCTCATCTGGTGGAATCATGCACATATCATTCGCAGCCCCCTCTTCATAATGCACCCTTCTCCTTGTTTTGCCCCATCATTCTAATATTCCATGGATATGGATTTTTATCTTTCCACCCTACAATCTTTTAGGTAAGCTTTTTTTGCCTCCAAAACTAAGGAGTGGCCGCACTCCGTAGTTATACATTGACGAGTGATCTGGGGTTCCAAAGAAGCTCGGAATCTTCGTCGAAGGAGGTGATGCAAGCAGCGAAGATTGAATTGCTACTTCTAATTCCTCGCGTTTGCAAGGAAAGTGGGATTTGTTGAGGGTGAAGGAAGAAAAAGAGTAATCAAAGCGGCGTTAATACTGTAGTAGTACAGTTAGACCTTACGCATAGAAGCTTTAAGAAGTGAAGGGAGAACATTGTACGGTAATGGAAATTCTGTTTTTGTTGTGTTTTGTGGTTGCTTGGTATGTGTCAAAATCTCGTCTTGTAGTTGTGGGTGCTGAGCTACAGGATCAAACTATACTGCTTGCCCTCAACCAAGAGCTTAAAGTACCGAGATGGGATGCTAACAACTCAAGTTACTGCTCTTGGCAAGGCGTTAGCTGCAATGACCGCTTAATGGTCGTGAAGCTCGATCTGTCTCATGCAAACCTCCGAGGTAATGTCACTCCAGTTTCCCAGCTCAAAGCTCTTCGGCAACTTGACCTTTCAAATAACAATTTTCATGGCTACATTCCTCCTGCTTTTGGAAATTTATCTGATCTTGAAGTTCTAGATTTGTCTTCAAATAAGTTCGAAGGTTCAATTCCACCAGAATTGGGTGGCCTCAGGAATCTTAAATCGTTAAACCTTTCCAACAATTTGCTTGTGGGGAAAATACCAAGTGAACTTCATGGCCTAGAGAAATTGCAGGAGTTTCAAGCCTCTAGTAATCAATTAAATGGATCTTTACCTACTTGGGTAGGAAACTTTACCAACCTCAGAGTTTTGGCTGCCTATGAGAACCTTCTAGGTGGTAGGATTCCAGATAATCTTGGCTTGGTTTCTGAGCTTCAAATTCTTAATCTGCATTCAAACCAGCTTGAAGGCCCTATACCAGCAAGCATTTTTACTTCAGGGAAGCTGGAAGTTCTGGTTCTGACCCAGAACAATTTGAGTGGTAATATTCCTCAAGAACTTGGGAATTGCCAAGGCCTTTCCAATGTCCGAATTGGAAACAACCATCTAGTAGGTACTATTCCTAAGACCATAGGAAACATTAGTAGTCTGACCTACTTTGAAGCAGACAATAACAATCTTTCTGGTGAGGTAGTGTCTGAATTTTCTCAGTGTTCTAATCTCACCCTTCTGAACTTAGCTTCGAATGGATTCAGTGGAACGATTCCACCAGAACTTGGACTGCTTATGAACCTCCAGGAATTAATTCTTTCTGGAAATAGCCTATTTGGCAATATTCCAGAATCAATTTTAAGGTGCAGGAATCTTAACAAGCTCGATCTAAGCAATAACAGGTTCAATGGAACACTACCAAATGACATCTGCAAATTATCTAGGCTGCAGTTCTTGCTATTGGGTCAGAATTCCATAGGAGGGGTGATCCCTCATGAAATTGGAAATTGTGCAAAACTTCTTGAGCTGCAATTGGGCAGTAACTATTTGACTGGAATTATCCCTTCTGAGATTGGTCACATTAGGAACTTGCAGATTGCTTTAAATTTGAGCTTCAATCATCTTCATGGATCACTGCCTCCCGAGTTAGGAAGACTGGACAAACTTGTTTCTCTGGATGTTTCGAACAATAGGCTCTCAGGCAATATCCCAGCTGAGCTGAAGGGTATGTTGAGCTTAATAGAGGTTAACTTTTCAAATAATTTGCTCACCGGCCCAGTACCAACATTTGTGCCATTCCAAAAGAGCCCCAATTCAAGTTTTATAGGTAATAAAGGGCTTTGTGGAGAGCCATTAAACTCTTCATGTGGAGATCTTTATGATGACAGCAATAACTACCATCATAGAGTCTCTTACAGAATCATACTTGCTGTAATTGGTTCTGGTTTGGCAGTCTTTATGTCAGTCACCGTGGTGGTCTTACTTTTTATGCTTAGAGAGAGGCAAGAAAAAGCAGCCAAGGATGCTGGGATGCTTGATGATGAAACTAATAACAAACCAACCATAGTAGCAGGGAGTGTCTTTGTTGAGAATCTAAGACAAGCGGTAGACCTTGATACTGTTGTTAAGGCAACCCTCAGAGATTCTAATAAGCTCAGCAGTGGTACTTTCAGTTCAGTTTACAAGGCAGTTATGCCTTCTGGGATGGTCTTGTCTGTTAGGAGACTCAAGTCCATGGATAAGACAATAATCCACCACCAAAACAAGATGATTAGAGAACTTGAGAGGCTGAGCAAACTCTGCCATGACAATCTGGTTCGACCCATCGGATATGTTATTTATGAAGATGTTGCCCTTCTATTGCATCATTTTTTACCCAATGGAACATTGGCTCAATTTCTTCATGAATCTAGCAAGCAACGTGAATATCAACCCGACTGGCCTACTAGATTATCCATTGCCATTGGCGTGGCAGAAGGTCTGGCTTTCCTGCATCATGTGGCCATTATCCACCTTGACATTTCTTCTGGCAATGTTCTTTTGGATGCAAATTTCAAGCCTTTGCTTGGGGAGATTGAGATATCAAAACTTCTCGATCCAACCAGGGGTACTGCAAGTATTAGTGCTGTTGCTGGTTCCTTTGGATACATACCACCAGGTATACAATTTTTCTGACACAGATATTACACGTGATGAAAACAAGTACATCTTTTAAGCGTTTGGCATAGGTTTTCTGTTAAAAATATGAAGGGTCTTGTTTTCTTTAACTGTTCAGAAGCATGTGATTGGACTATTAAAAAATTTCTTCCCTATCATGTTTTTATTGGAGGATTTGATAGTACGTTTAAGAATCCTTTACAAGTCTAGTTCTTTCTTACATCCATTCTATTTTTTATTGCATCTTTCACATTTTATTTCTCGACGCAGAATATGCATATACAATGCAAGTTACAGCACCTGGAAATGTCTACAGTTATGGTGTAGTCCTGCTTGAGATCCTTACGACTCGACCACCAGTTGATGAGGATTTCGATGAAGGCATAGACTTAGTTAAGTGGGTTCATAGTGCTCCAGTAAGAGGGGAAACTCCAGAGCAGATACTCGATGCAAGGCTCAGCACAGTATCATTTGGTTGGAGGAAAGAAATGCTTGCCGCTTTGAAGGTTGCATTGCTCTGCACTGATACTACACCTGCAAAACGACCTAAGATGAAGAAGGTAGTGGAAATGCTCCAAGAAATAAGGCAAAACTGAGCACACTGGAATTGAAGTTCTTTGGTGACGTGATCCATGTGATTGAGGATCTCAGAAATTTCAAGGTCATAGCTGATGTTAGATCTTCACCCAGCTCCTGCATGCATGTTGAAAAGGATTAGTTTTTTAAAATGAGAAGTTCGTATCTGAGAGGCTGAAGACTGAATAAGATACACACACACACACAAACTGCAAAAGCTTCTTGATTAAGCAAGGAAAGCTCAGTTCATCTAGCATATTGCCTTCCCCGCTGTTTGCAAAATGTAATTTTCTGTTCTGGGAGAGACTCATACAGCAATCAAATGTTAGTGTTAATCGTAAATTCCTACTTTCCTGTTGAGTTCGTTGATTGTATATTTGAACTTGTCCATGCAGGCTATAAACAACCATTACAGTCTGCGTTCATAATAACCCAATGTAATGTAGACAAATATCTTCTGTGACAAAACATGGGTAGCTATCAAAGTGAGAAAACGACAATCATCATCTCCCAACATTTTATTGTTGATGAATCAAATTTTGAATCCATGTAAGATTTAGATGTTTGGTTCCGGTCCCTGCATTAAATGCTCTCTTCGTAGGATAAGACAAGCAAATCATCTTGACATAGACCTGCAATAGCGACGCCATTGTCGATTAAACAGCCCCCCATGAAATGCAGAACTAAAAGATTTGAGAGGGAAAGGATTTGGAGTTTCTCTCAACTGAAAGCATAGTATTAGGCCAATTTGCTTTCCATCCAGAAGACATATAAATAGATCTTTCTAGAAAAGAGGTGGCTTTCTATTTTCTTTTGGGTGACTCGAGGCAACTTCCCTTTCTTTGCCGCTGATTTAATAATTACGATTAAAAGGGTCATCCCAAGCGTTTCAGGAACTACAGGAGCAGACTGCCACGTAGCCCGTTTGGTTTCATTTCGACAAGTGATATTTAACAACATCCACCATCCACGCTCATTTTTAACTTCTGAACAACTGGGAAATGTTAATGATACCTAATTTTCTGGATCATTTAAATGCGAATAGTACGATTTGGTGATGCAATTCAGCGAATATTTACATTTGGCCATTGAAAGATACCAATAACTCATTTATTCAACATCTAAATTTGAAAATATATAACTATTTCTCAATTAAATACCTGAAAACAAAAATAGATTAAAAACAAACGAAATAAGTTAATTACTTTCCATGAAAGTTAAAAGTGCATGCTATCACTTCAGAAGTTCCTCCTTTCAACATCAACTCCACATATTACAACAACAAACCTTATCCCAATAGATAAAGTTGAATATAAAGACTACACGCTCTATCAATCAAACTTTAGATATATTTTTAACAAAAAATTTCATTTAATATCAGTACAACTAAAAGCCTACTTTCCAAGTTATAACGCCCTCAGCATCAAATGAATATTCAAATTTCCCCCGGAACAAAAGGGAATGAATTTAGGCCTTCTCTATATAGTTCCTCCCCTGGCAGTGGCCTATGATGCGAAGCTTAATCTTTGACCTTTCTATCAAATGGATGACTACATTATGGTAATAAAGCGACGAATTGCTGTTGAGAATCTACCATCCCAAAAACCATTGACTACATAACAGTAACATCTCTAACTAATCTTCTAGTCCCTTTACTAGGTTCTGCTTCTCACTGTCACCTTGGCAAGCATAGAATTTAGATGACTGTAATGAATATTATTTAGTTTAAAGAGTATTCACACGGTACTTGAAACCCCACACAGCAGGGAAGAAATGAGATCAAACTATTGTCATTGACTGATACAACAATCTCGCATCAAACAGAGTTTGGAGTTGGAGACATATCTCCCATCAACAAAGAAGAGCCTATCAACCATCACAATCTTCAAGATTCAGGGCGCGACTTGACAATGAAATTTTGGCGACTTATGGGGTTCATGACAACTGGTGGACCAGCAGTACGAGGCCATGATTGAAATTTTTTATCAGTCTCTTCCCACCACTCCTTATTTGAAACTGTCTGAGGGGTAGTGCCTGAATATAACAATTAGGTGTTCCATCAAACTGCTGTATCGGTTGCAAAGCAAGACAATATCCAAGCAACGCAAAACTTACCTCCAAATATCTTTCGATCAGCAATAAGTTGATCACAGACCCATGCAAGGGCAAATGACCCTAATACAGCAGGTATGATGTACTTGACAGCCATGTTCAAAGTCCAGACTGATCAAAAATAAAAAAAATAAAAACATCAAAGCTCAAAGGACAAATCAACACTTGAAGAAAGACCACCCAATCCCAGAGATGAATGAAAAGGGAAATTGGATGGTCAACAACCAAGATATAAAGGAACCTGGAACATTTTTCCTTGGAAATATTAGGTTAATAAGACGTATAGGCAAAAAAGAAAAGCTACAATGTGTCAAATCTGAATCAGCTGTGCTTTCGCAATAGAAAGTTGTCAACATTATATCCTCACAAGCATATTAGAAGGGAAGAAACATCTGCTCAGAAACCACATTGTAATATATCCGCAGGACATTGAATCACGTATCAATTGCCATAGTTCAGGCGATCAGGCACCGACCAAGATCTCTCAAATTTTATCACACTCCGAAAAGAAGCAAGTGCATTATGGGCATTGTGAAGTTATTCTTATGAAAATAAGAGTAAGTGTTGCAAGCACGTACACTCTATAGTCAAATCCATATACAACAAAACATTACATGGAAGGCTTTCAGGATACTTGAGTCTCGGCTAAGATAGAGCTAACAACATTTTTGTCATAAGTTTTTCAGTTCCCAGTAAAAAATATGAATGACTAGTTAGGCAAAATTCAACTAAATGTCTTGGTCCCTTAATACTACAATACCAAGATGTTGAGACTATAAATCTTCCTTCCAATAAAAACACGAGAAGCAAGCAATACAGCATTATCACGAGAGGTAAGCCAGCAAACCCAATGCTTAGCCATATCGGAGGACAAAAATCAGCAAGCCAGCAAGCCCACTCATTGAAAGTCGAAAATCATTGCATAATCACAACAAGGAAGTGTTTAATCACAAAACCAGTATACTGTATTGTGAAGGCTGGGAAATGAAACCGAAGAACAAGATTTGGAATTCGAAGATCACCCGGAGAAGAGATTGGCACAAGATCCAACGAATGAAGTCGAAGTGAAATAAATCGAAAACTCATACTTTGACCTATGCAAAGGAGAGTTACAGAGTAAATCTTACCTCGCCGGCGATGGAACTAGACCTCCGGCGTCTCAATCAACGTTCGAACAGCGAGCGCTCTCACCTCGTGCGGACCAGCTCGTTCCTCAAATTAGGGTATCGTGGAGAACAAAGAACAGTCCAGATCGATAAAAGCGTTGGAGGGCATCGTGTGTCATTTCGTATTGTACTTGGAGGGTGAAATGGACTTTTCATTAAACAGGCCGAGGTAAGTGAGGAGCTGAGGACCACCCGACCAAGCACCAACCCGTCCCACACCCAAAAAAAAAAAAAAAAAACAGAGAGAGAAAAGGGCAAAAAAAAAAAAAAAAAAAGAATACGAGGACCAACGTAAAGGCCTACCCTTTCCCTCCTACCCGAAGCAGCCTCGATCAATTATTTTCATAATTCAAATTAATTCCCTCATCAATCAAAACAAACGCTAATTATTTTATTTTTTTAAAAGTAAAAGTTCGAGAAGGACTTTTCTTCTTGATTTCTTTTTGCCTCCAAAAAGTTAATTTATAAATTTATATTCATATTATTCATATTTTTTAATAAATAAATTATATATATTAATTCTAAAGTATATAGATTTTTTCCTGTTTTAAAAATATAATTTGGTCAAATTTTATTTTTCTACAGAAATTAATTACCCAAAAATATATAATATATTTTAATCAAGGAAATTATGAACCTAGATTAATTGAGAATATTCAAAATGTCAAAAAATTATATGCAATAGATTCGAGGTTTAGAAAAGTTTTGCATATAGATAAGACTTAAATACTTACTCTTATATATTTAGATATTATTATTCAATTAAATCAAGATAAATAAATTTTAATATATTAGTAATATTAATGACAAGAGTTTGTTATAGAATAAATAATCCATAAAATACAATAATGTTTTTTTATTTTAGAAGATGTCAATGTATATTTTTTAAAAAAATAAAAATAAATACAATTTCAATTTCAATAAATTTAGCAAACATTTAATTTATTTTTTAACAAAAACTAAACTCTATAAATCTTATGTTGACTCCAATAATTGTTGATATAGTAGTTAATAAGTGTTCAAATTATTTTTTGCTTGTTTCGATAACATTTGAAATCAATTTTAAAAGTTAGAATCATGATTTTATGAAAATATATCCAAACACTAATGTTATATATTAAAATTAATTATAAATTCAAAACTCTATTTTCTTTAAAAAATTCAAACACTCATTATGCATGTTAAAATCAATTATAAACTCAAGATCGTAGTTTTTTTAAAAAATATCCAAGCAACTTTTATTATGTCAAAATCAATTATGAACCAAAAAATATAATTTGTAAAATAATTTATATGAATTTTGGATAAATTTTTAAAAATGTATACTTGAAAAATTGAATTGAAAAATAGGTAATAATGGTTTATGAAATAACCATGGTCTTTGGTCAAGAAAAAAAAAAAAAACCCATGGTCTTGAGTTCATAGATGGATTTTGACATATATGAGGGTGCTTGGATATTTGTAAGAAAATTATAGTTTTAAGTTTGTAATTGTTTTTGTCATGTATAATGAGCATTTGAATATTTTTTTTAAACATAATTTTGAATTTATGATTAATTTTAACATGTAGGCTAAAATATACATTTAGTTCTTTAACTTTATATAACATTTTATTTTAATCTTTTGATTTTATAAAGTGTTTTTTTAATCCTTCAACTCTAATATTGTAATTTTTATCCCAACAAATTTTTACATTAAAGTTTAAAATATTAACAAAATAGCTTGAAACATTGATATATTAAGTTTAATTATTTTAAAATAATAATAATTGATACAAAAAATAATCATTGAAACTAATGATGTTAAAGTTAAAGAATTAAAAAAATGCTTTACAAAATTAAAGAATTAAATTAAAATTTTATATAAAGTTAGATGATTAAAAATATGCTTTAGCCTAACATGTAATTTGGATGTTTAGGTATATGTTTACAAAACTATAGTTTACTTTATTTTCCATTATGATTAAAATCAATTTTATTAATCCTTTTTATGAATCAATTATATACCATATAACATAATCAATTATATTTTAAATCAATTATACTAATTAATTTTTTTTATAATTTATTAGAAACGAAACACATCTTTTAACTTCAACCTTCTAATCTAATCTTTTGTTTTATTTAGCTCGCAGTCCTGATAAAAACTTTCTTCCAATTGGAGGCTTTGTTATATATTTTATAATTAAGTAAAATGTTATCTTGCTTTGACAACTGCAATTTTTCATAAATCACAACGATTAAAAAAATCGCCGCAAGAGATAAATCTTCCTGCACGCGCGCGCGCACCCCCACACACACACACACACACAGAGATAAATCTTCCTGCACGCACGCGCGCGCGCGCGCGCGCGCACACAAAATAATCTAACTTGAAAGGCGCATGACTGCTAAATTCTTGTGAAAAACTGAAGTTGTCAAAAACCCTGCAGTTTCTGTTATGATCCAAGCAAGAAAGCCAATAAATTACAACCGACCTATTTATAAGAAACCATGTATAGTTAAAATTTACCTATAAAATGTTCCTCATAAATAGGCTTGGAGGCAGCAGTGCACAAGGACGCAGGAAAGCCTTTGAGCTACGAGCAGAAGAATAAAAAACAATAAAGAATGAGAGGCGAAAATTTGGAACAACGCTCCACAATTATCAGAGATAGCTGGATCTTGAGCCCACCAATTCCAGACTGCTCAGACGCCTTATAATTGGCCGATCAACTGCCCAATTGAACATGCTTTCTCGTCTAACCTTAACCTGCCCAGGATGTAGTTTCTAGTATAATTCCAGGATCAACAACCAGCAGCCTTTAAAAAGTTGTCATATGGACTTGATGCCGGCAGATGGAAGGAGTGAGGACGGTTCTGATAATCGGCTGTACACGGCGGTGGAGTAGGTATGTGTGAGTCCGCACTCAAATTCTTGCCAAAGAATGAGTTGTCAACCTGCATTTTACAATGGCTAATAATTAGATGCTCACCTCAAAACTTGTGCATGCAGATAATATTAAAAAGCTGAGAACTTCAACTTTCACTGGATGCAGAAACAGCAATGTATATGCCTCGTACACTTAGAAGTACAAATGTAAAATATGTTAATTCAAGATGCAAGCCACGAGTTTCTTAAAGTAAGGAGCTACCTTCTGGGAACTCATATCCAAATTGGACAAGAAGTCCACGCTTGTCAGTTGCTTCTCAAGATTTTCTGAAGGGAAGTCCACCAAACAATCTTGCTTTTGGTGGGGACTCATCAAGTTGGACATGTACTGCTTTCCCATCAGAAGTGCCTCACAGTTATGAGCCATATCCTTATATGGCACATCACCAGCAGCCGATTCAGAAATTCTCTCAACTTGTTCAGGCGTTTCCAAAACCTACACAATAATAAGGTGTTTTGTCAGTTTTCCTGCAATTGACATGAGACTGGCTTCAAAAACAAACTAAACAATACAGAAAGAATATAATAGTGCATGAAATGGCCAACGTACTGATTCTAGAAGTTGACTAGCACTCAAAAGACTTGGGACTTCCGCAGCCAATTCCAAATTGTGCATTATTTGATTATCAAATAAGTCAGGAATCAAGTCATCGTCCGTGGATAATTTTGAAGCTTCCTGGAGAATGTAAAAGTAACTACCTCAGTCACAAATCAATGGCAGAAAGAAAAGAAATAAGAAGATATGAATAGCCATAGCCATAAGACCCATGAAACCCATCACTTCAACTTGACACACCTCTTTTGGCAAACCAACTGTCAATTGGGATCCGAATTGACACAAATCATCAGGTGAAAATTCTTCCCGCAGCTGCTCTCTTATTGAGGAAAATGCAGTCTGTGCAAAAGACTATAGGGTCATTGAATTGGAAAAAGCAATATATTTTTATCTTCCGTCTCAGTCTAAAATATACGAGTAAAAACATTACTTCTGACAAACTTTCCAAGCTCTTGACAATTTCAGAAGCAAAGAAGTCCTGAGTTTGGTGCTTGGTTGTCGACAATTCTGCAAGTGTGTTTAGAGCCCTATCATTGTCTTCTTTAGATCCATAATTGATGGTCATGAGATTGCCAGGCTCAGAGCTGACAGCCTGCAATTTGTGATCTCCAACCATATGAAGGAAAGGGTCAACCTGAGTTAAAAACAAGAGAAAGCATCAAGATGGTGTGTGTGTATTTACTAGAAGTAAAAGAAAAACTAGAAGCATGTGAACAAACAAGTAAAAGAAAAGTAAATTATAACATCTTTCCAAGCAAAGTACATTTTTATTTTTTTATCCAAATATAATTATTTGATATCTAGTATTACTAGGCTAGATTCGAGCATTGTTAAATTCAATTGAGGATAACTCTTCCAATATGATTTTTTCCATCCACAAGATTTAAAGCCTTGACCTTACTTAAGGGGAATCTATTCCTTTTCACTCAACCCAACTACTATTGATCCATAACCTCAAATTCAATACATGCACATACTCCCTCCAATCCCTATTATAAGGCACTTCTAATCATCTTATCAGAATTAAGGAGAAGTGGTTAAGTCATTAACTTTGTCCAAGAATGAAAAAAAAATTCCCAATCTTACCCGTATTTAAATGGAAAAATTTCAAATTTATATTACATTCTCTCTCATATTTAATAATTTTAAATGGGGATAATATTGGAAAAACTTAATTAATATCCCATTAATTGACTTATAATAAGGACCATCCATCTCTTCTGGAAGATGCTTTATAATAAGGACTGAATGGAATATATATTAAAAAGTAGAGCTATTTTAAAGATTTTATTATAAAAATTATGACTTCACGTGTGTTATGTGATTAAAATTATTGATTTCAAAAAGTCTGAAATTTGAAATTGTCTGATCTAAATATTTTGAACTTGAATTTTAGACATTGAATTGTAATGTTTTTTAATATTATCCAAAAAAATAAACAATGTTTTTCAGATGGAAAATATATATGTAGTCAAGGTAGCCCTTGAAAAGCAAAGCACATTATCTTATCCACGGAATTGAAGACATGATTTGCATGATGAGGAGAGAAAATATTGTGGCAATTGAGCTTGTAAACTTCCTTATATTGACGGAGACGTATGCGCAAACACATGTATACAAGTGAAAGACACAATAATCTCCGAGAATCATGGAGATTGAGGTAGAATCGGATATCCTAGAATAATATCTAATTAGCCACCCGATATATCCTCTAAAATATTTACACCAAATATTAACAATAAATACTAGGTCTAACCATACTCCCCCACAAGTTGGATTGTAAATGTTAATCATATTCAACTTGCTTATGCAGCTATCAAATGCTGGTTTGTGTAAACTTTTTATTAAAACATTAGCCGCTTGAAGTCTAGTCAAGAGGTAGTTAAGACACATGGTTCCTTCTTTAACTTTTTCCCTTATGAAATGTCTATCAATCTCTATATTCTTGGAACTTTCATGTTGAATTGGATTTAGTGCCATACTTATTACAGCCTTGTTATCACAATAGAGGTTTAATGGAGAGCCAATTTCAACTTGTATTTCATCCATAACACATCTTATCCACAGTACTGCTGTGATACATTGAGCTAATGACCTCAGTTCTGATTCTGCACTGATTCTTGAGACTACTTTTTGTTTCTGACTCTTTCAAGTGACAAGATTTCCCTATACAAATGTGCGGTATCCTGATGTTAATCTCTTATCCTGACATGTTCCTCCCCAGTCTGCATCTATATAAATTTCTATAGATCGTAGGCTTTGCTTCTTGAATAGAAACCCCTTGCCAGGTGTACCCTTTAGATACTTTAGAATCCTATATACAGCTTCCATGTGCCTTTTTCAAGGATCACTTATAGATTGGCTTGTCATACTCATAACAAAGGCGATATCTACCCTAGTGTGAGAGAGATAGATTAACTTCCCTACTAATCTTTAATATCTCTCTTTATCTATTGGTTCATTTTCCTCCTCATCATCTTCTTCTTCCTCTTCTTTAGATTCATTTCCTTTCTTCTTTTCTTTTTTCTTCTTTTAAGCCACCATTGGTGTTTCCAAAGGCTTACACCCCAGCATGCCTGTTTCAATTAATAAGTCAAGGATATGTTTCCTTTGAGACACATAGATTCCACGCTGTGATCTTGCAACCTCCATACCTAAGAAATATTTCAAGTTGCCTAGATCTTTCACTTCGAACTCCTTACCAAGAGCCCTTTTTATTCCAATTATCTCCTCATCATGGTCACCTGTAATAATTATATCATCAACATATACTATGAGTATACACCTTTTTCCCCATCATTTTCTTCTTCTTCCTCTTCTTCAAATTCATTTCCTTTCTTCTTTTCTTTTTTTCTTCTTTTGAACCACCATTGGTGTTTCCACAGGCTTACACCCCAGCATGCCTATTTCGGTTAATAAGTCAAGGATATATTTCCTTTAAGACACATAGATTCTATGCTGTGATCTTACAACCTCTATACCCAGGAAATATTTCAAGTTGCCTAGATCTTTCACTTCAAACTCTTTACCAAGAGCCCTTTTTATTTTAATTATCCCTTCATTATGGTCACCTGTGATGATTATATCATCAACATATACTATGAGCATACACCCCATTATTCACCTTCACAAACATGGTATGATCTGATAACCCTTGCTGGTATCCTTCAACCTTCAATACTCTTAAGAATCTATCAAACCAAGCCCAAGGTGGTTATTTCAAACCATACATAGATTTTTTTTAGTCTCCATACATAGTTATTATATCCTTTATCAAAACTTAAGAGATAACGTCATAAATACCTCTTCTTTCAAGTCTCCATTGAGGAATGCATTTTTGATATTTAATTGATGAAGAGACTAGTCTAGATTTACAGCAATAGGTATTAAGATTCTGATAGTATTCAGCTTGGCTATAGGTGCAAGTATTTCTTTGTAGTCCAAACTATAAGTTTGAGTGAACCCTCTTGACACAATCTTGTCTTTAATTTGTTCAACTTACCTGCAGAATCATATTTTGGGGTAAAAACCCACTAGCATCCTACAATATGTTTCCCTTTTGGAAGCTCTACTATCTCCCATGCGCCATTCCTTTCTAGAGCATTCATCTCCTCTACCACAAGCATTCTTCCATTCAAGCATACTAAGTGCCTCATGTATATTATTTGGAATCTTCACCTTGTCCAAGTTAGTTATAAATGTACGGAATTGAGAAGATAAGGCATGGTAACTGACAAACTTCTGAATTGGATGCTGTGTGCAGGTTTTGGGTTGTTTTCTGAGAGCTATAGGTAAGTCTAATTCATGATCCTCAATCATCTCCTTCCCCTCGGGTTTATCCTTTATTCCACATTCAACTTCAGGAACCTCTATTGGTTCAGATTCTGGTTGTGTTTCAGGTATACCAATCTCTCTATTTTTTCATTTCTTCCTTGAGTACATCATTAGTACCTTTTCTAATGCTTTTCTAGTAATCTCATTACACTCTGAAAGACTTTTCTCTTCAGTTTTTGGTCAAGGAGACTGAGCACCATATTTGGTGGGAGAATGGATAAGGCAGGGTTCCAATTTAGGTTCAGGATTTTCTGTCTCGAATTCAGAATTTACAATCTCACTCAAAAACTGAAACTCACTACCCCTCTTCCCCTAAGTGGAATTTTTTGGGTAGAATGGGACATGTTCAACAAAGGTTACGTCATGACTGATGTATAGATGTTTAAAGCGAGGGTCAAAACACTTATATCCTTTTTGAGATGAGGAATACCCTAGAAAAAGACAAGGGATAGCTTTAGGATCCAATTTGTGGGACGAGTGAGCATGAGCATATAAGGTGCAACCAAAAATTTTAAGAGGCAGATTAGTCTCAAGATGGGTAACAGAGTGACACTCTTTTAATTTTTCAAGTGGGCATGCGATTTATCAAGTAAGTTGCTGTAAGGATTGCATCCCCCCCGAAGTATTTGGGAACATTTCCAACAAGTGTATGTTTTTCCATTCTGCAATACCATTTTGTTAAGGGGTGTCAGGACAAGTACTCCTGTGAACAATGCCATGTTCTTTAAGAAATAGATCCATGGAATTATTGCAGTACTCTGTCCCATTATTAGTATGTAACACTTGAATAGTTGTATTAAACTAGTTCTTTGTCATGGTAAAGAAGTCAGAAAAAATAGAAGTAACAGAGGATTTGTCATACGATGGATAAACATAACACATTTTGGTATGATCGTCTATAAAGGTAATGAACCACTTTGTATTTGTACGATTTGGAATACAAGTAAGGCCACATAGATCACTGTGAATTATTGAAAAATAACAAGTAGATCGATACTCAATAAGTTTAAAGCTTGATCTTTGATGTTTGGCAAGTTCACAGTCAAGATAATGAAAGGAAGAAATTTTATTAGATTGAAATTTGGGAAGAAATAAATGACATAAATATTGAAAGTTTGGATGACCCATTCTCCTATACCATAGCATAAGATCTTTAAAGACTTTATTCTCAGAGGTAGATGTAACATTGCACTGAATTCGACACCAAAGTGTACTCACGGTTGATTCTTCTAGATAGTAGAGACTATTATGCTCCTTGGCACTTCCAATCATCTTCCCTGATAAGAGGTCCTGAAAAATACAATGAGTGGAAGAGAAATGAGCCCAAGAATTGGCTTGTTTGGTTAGCTTACTGATAAACAACAAATTGCAAGCTAAATGTGGAACATGCAACACATCTTCTAATTTCATAACATCAGAGATAAGTACACTTCCTGTCCTTGCAATTGAGGAGGATGATCCATTTACTGTACTAGTTTTTTCATTTCCAACGCTAGGAAGATATGTAGTCAATAGTTTTGAATCAGAAGTCATATGATCTGTTGCCACAGTATCAATAATCCATTTGAAATTAGTGGTGGTAGTAAGTAGGCAACACTTACCTTTATAAGTCATAAAAGCGGTATGATTTGACTTCTGATGTTGGTCACCATTTTCGAGTGCACTGAGCATATCAAGTAACTTACCCAAGTGCTCCTTATCAATTTGAGGTGTTGATTTTGGCTTCTCAGGTGGTAGGTCATGAAAGGTTTGGTACACTCGAGTCTTTCTTTTTTTTGGTTTCCAATCAGCTGGTTTTCCATGGATATCCCAACAAATGTCACGTGTGTGCCCCGTATTCTTGCAATGGTCACATGTAACCTTCCCTTTCTAGCCTTTTTGATTTGAATCACTACTCTTGCTTACAAGTGCAGCAAAGTCCAGAGAAGATGCTGGAGTAGAAGAAGCTCTAGGGAGCATTACCTTTCTTCTTGGAGCTTCATGACGTACCTCAGAGAATAGTTCTCTTGTTGATGGAAGTAGCGTACGACTCAGAATCCGTCCTCGAACATCATCAAGAGATTGATAAAGTCCAGCAAGAAATTGAAAGACGCGTTCATTTTCGATTTGCTCTCTACAGCGAGTAGCATCTCTACTACTGGACCACTCCACTTCTATCATCAAATCCAGCTCTTGCCAAATGGATGTCAATTCCAACCAGAAGGTCATAACATCAGCCTTGCCAAGTCCTTCACGTCGGAGTATGAGTCACGCACTGCCTTCCAGATATCATGAGTTGAGGGAAGAAACATGAAGCTTTGCTAAATCTTTGGAATCATTGCGTTTATTAACCACAATGGAACTAGAGAGTTATCCATGTGCCAACGCTGAGTCTCCTGCAGTTCGGATTCTTTTGGGATCCTAGATAAGCAATTGATATAGCCTATCTTTCCTCTTCCTCCAATCGTAAGTTTCATTGCTTGAGCCCATGTGCGATAGTTTTCTCCGTTGAGCTTGATAGTAACGACATGCACCAATGGCCCTTCATGGCTGGTGATCAACCCAAGGGGACTGCCTACAATGTGTGGATCAAACTTTGAAAACCCATCGCTTTTCGTCATTAAGGAGTTGCGATTAGGGTTCAACTCATTTTTGGTGTTTTCTGAATCAAAGTGATCAGAAGTTACAGGTGAGCCTGGCTCTGATACCATGTAGCAACTGAGCTTGTAAACTTCTGTATATTGATAGAGAGGTATGTGCAAACATGTATACAACTGAGAGACATAATAATCTTCAAGAATCATGGAGATTGAGGTAGAATTGGATATTCTAGAATAATATCTAATCAGCTACCCGATATATCCTCTAAAATATTTACACCAAATATTTACAATAAATACTGTCTAACTACAAATATTATTTTTCTTCTTCATGTTCTCAAATATAATTTTGAGACCTCAATGATAGACACCAAAGAGGGAAAACACGAGAAATGACTCACATTTTTCTCAGTAAGCACAGCCTTGGCACTGTGCACAACAGGAGCAAGATCGTACGATTTTGAAGAAAACAGGATCATTGCAATTGCCAAAGTAAATATTGATCTTCGTTGTGATGCTTGCAGCATCTCTGCAATATAAATACATATTACACAAGGCTCAAAATTCTAAGAGCACATTCAGCTTTCTTTTCCAAACATGCTACAAAGATACTGGTTCTTTAGCAATAACAATCACTGTCCAAGTTCACATGCAAATGATATCTCAGAATTAAATGAAGTTCTTTTTGGTGCCATCTTCTTTAGCGGGTTAAAAATAGGACTTTCACTGAGAGGAAAAGAAAAAAAATCAAAATCCACAATCTATGCACCAAAAAGAAGAAAAATGCATAAACATATTCCATGGCAAATTAACATTATTAGTCTGTCTTCTACAGATTGGGGGGGGGGGACTTTGATCCAGATAAAAGCATATCTCAAAACAATAATTTATTCCCTGTGCAATTGCCGAAAAAAAAACTCCAACCACAAGGATCCAATCTTCCTTAAAAACAACAAATAAAATGCACCAAATACTCCAGGCCCTCAAGCAGCGAGAAGATGGTAGGCCATTAGCCTGAAAAGCACAGTATAATAGGTAAAACAAACACATAGGGAGAGACTAATGAAAGAGCCGTACTAAGTCTTTCAGGCTGCAACTATTAATGTATTAACCCTGATATGAATCAGGGCCCAAACAAAAGCCTCAACTTCAAAGAGCCTAAGATTTTCAAAATAAGGCTTGTAAATGGAAACAAGCATCATGGAGGTATCAAAAACAAAGTCAAGGAAACTTGCAAAGCGCCAAAACATTCTGAAGATGGAACTCCAGAATGATGTTGCTCAATCATGCACTTTACAAAGCCATAACAGTTTCCAAGTCTTAATAAAGACAAATCACTCTCCTACCATATCTCAACAAATAATATGGTCCTCATACATGTCAAGTGGTTGTTTAGTATAACCAGGTCTTTTTGTTCTCTCAAGCAAGTGATTTCAAGTTCTTCATATCCTCAATGATTTTTAAAATTTCACTTTGATGTGTTCAGTTGTCAAGCGTTATTATTTATTTTCAACATTATGATTAACAAGCCGACCCCACCTAGTGGGATAAAGACTTGTTGTTGTTGTATGATTAACACGCTTAACTAGTTGCTACCACAAACTATTCCTAAAATGCATGCAACTACAGAAACAGTGTAATTCTACTAGAGTTAAGGCACGAAGTGACCCCTCAAGCAATGTTCCTTTTTACATTAGAAGATTATTAACAATTTAAATTAAAATTACTATAAACAAATCATGCATCACTCCTGAGACTGCAAACTCTGTCAAGGACGATCAAACTTAATATTGACATAACTGCCAGCTCACCTCTATCCTTTAGAGAAAGATTCCACAAAGAAAATGCCAGCTGGAAACTCCGCACCAGTATCTCATGAAAAGAATTCTGTACGACAAGATAAATTTGTAAAAGTATGCTAAAAGGGGAGAAATGGATGTACCAGTCTTGAAGAGGAACAGATGAAAATGGGAAGATTTAGATAATGTCAATAATGATATAGACAACCTCAAATCTTTTTTCTTCTTCAGCAATATGACTCCCAGAAAAAGCAAATTTACATACTAGATCATACGAAGATACTCCACAGTTAATTATTTTCAAAGGTCGGATTGCTGTTGTTAGGGAAAAACATGATTTTGGGGGAGCAGAAATGAAACCAGAGTTTGAAAGAAAACTCTCTCATGCCAATGAAGTACAATTATGAAGATATTGAAGCTGTAGATTGCAGAAAGACTATCCAAGAACTTGCAAAATTTGACCTCAATAAGCACCAATAACAGTAATATTTCCGCAGGTACAACATTTTACCATGACATAACACAGAAACAAAAAGAAGAACCCCTTGAACAAAGAACTTATGAAGATCATTTAATAATGCATGAGTGCTGATGGTACCTTATCTCTAGAAAAGAGCAATACCAAACTGTATGTATGAGCAATGGCTTCATAATTTTCAGGCATATTTCCAGGAGAGATGGACTGCGCCCAAATTGATGACAGCAAGAGGTTTACCTGATGACTGCTCAGCCTGAGGGAAACGGCCTCCTGTATTCAAGGGAAAGGCTGATCATTACAGACCATAATAACAAATCAAACTCAAACCCATGTATAAAGGCACACTGAGGTTGAAGAAGGGCCTGTATCATTCTTATTGGCATTGTGATTCACGTCTGAATCTCCTGCCCGTCCACAAGCCAACCATCTCACACATTACACACCATTGGATTAATAATGAGTATTGCTTTGCACCATAACCTAAACTATTTCTTTTTTTAAGGAACAAGCTATATACAATCTCTTCAAAATAGAGCTCTTAAGTAAACCTAAGTGCAACTGTGTACACATGAAAGTGAGAGGAAGAGAGATGGATGGAGGCAGAATAAGCTTACTATATGAAATCATACAAGCAGAGAGCCAAGAATATTAAAGCATCAAGACAACTGCAGGACTCACCAAGTTCATGTTGGCATTGTTTCCAGAATTCTCATCTCTTGCAGAGTTGTACACTCGACTGTAGGTTGATTTCAACCTGCCCATGATCCCAGTATTGTTGTTAGCTGTTTGCTCCTCTTCTGCAATAATGTCTTTGTCATCTAAACAAAGATTTTCTCTAGAGGAAAATTTCTCCTGTCTCAGCTTTTCAAACAAGGCAGCAGAAGAAGAAAAAACAGAAACTGTTCTTGAGATAGTTCGTGGAACCACCAATGCCTTCTTAGAGTAAGAAACAGCTGAGCATGGGCGGGGGAAAACTGATGTTGGTACAAGAACCACAGAAAAGATGCGATGAGCCCCCACTCGTGTTTCTTGATCTGGGTGGACCATAGCCAGGACTAGTTGATGAAACAATGTCTCAGGGAAACCCTAAAGAAGGGAAGAAGTAGCAACAAATTTATCCTTGAAACTAAAGTAGCCAATAAAATTATCATAAAAACTGAGGTTACTCCTTGCCTTGTTGTGATAGAACAAATTTGGTAAGGAGGCTACAATTTGGGCAGTTTGATAAACAGCAGAGATTGTGGTTCTGGATATTGCTGTTATAGTTGAGATATTCTCTAACATCACACCCATAACTTCAAGAATTGGCCCAGCTTCTCCAACCTGTTCATGACAGAAGTTTATTCATTCTCCTTTTTTTATAAATCTAACAGTGAAAGACAGCAGAATATTCAGCAGTTTAAGGAAATTTTCGAAGTTTAAATTTGAAAGACAACATTAAACCAGCAGATTGGTAATCCCAATCTGTACAAGGCATAAATTAAAAAGAAAGATAAAGGAGACATGAGGTACTTTGATTGATAACTGTACAAGGCATTCATCCACAGCTTCTCGGAACTTCTTGTTCCAATTGATTGTGTCAGCATCTATATTTGTCTCAAACGAGTACTGTATGCTCTTCCGCAAATGCCTCATTAGGTCACTCAATGCACCTACTATTGCTACAGACGGTTGAGCCTTTGCATGTTTTGCAAGTGAAGAGGTCACCTCCACAATGTCTAACTGTAAGAAGGGCTGTTTAAGGACAACTTTATTATCCAGATGCCTAATTAACATTGACAGTAAAACATGTGAATTTTTCCCTGCAACAAATTGAACAAGGAAAAACAATGAGAAAAAGGAGGACCAGAATAAGCAGACAACATTATATAAAAATTCAGAGAATTTTAAAAATGAAAATAGTATACCCATATTGTCCATTATAAGTAGCACATCCTTTAAAACGGAGAAGGCAATGCCATGTACAATGGACCATAAATTTCCATTATCACAGTATCGGAATAAAGATTCCATTACACGACGTACAGTAGTGCCTTCTTTGGCTAAGTTGGCCATATTGCTCAGACAAACCCCAGACCAAAAGCATGGATTATTGGCATCTTCCCTGCAACAAAAATCATTGGAGGGTAACGAAATAAACAGAAGATAGCTCAATGGTATTTTAAATATTCTCTGCTAAAAAAAAAAATTACTTTTTCACATTTATTTTGCCTTTATCATCCACTATTTCACTCCAGGATGAAATTTTCATTTTGACATCTGGCAAAGCAGAATCACGACCATCATTTTTCATCACTTCTTGAACCCACATATCCTTAGGACCATGTTGCTCAGGATCAAGACTTTCTGAAGATTTCTCGTGACATTGATAATTTTCCAAGACAACAGAAACAATCTGCTGAGTTAAATTGAGGGAAAAACAGGACAATAAATATCATTTAGTTCATATAACATTGGTCTAAAGTAAATACAATAACATAGTTAAAAGGAAAAGTCAGCTGCAGTAAACTTATGTACAATATGCAAATCGGGATTTTATAGACTTTAAAATATCTCAGAAAACATTGATTAGAAAGTTTTGTCTATCTTAACTTACTTGAGGATTATTAGAAGATCTTTATGTAAAAATTAAGCACATTCTATTCCACCTTGTACTTTAGAGTTCTTGACTGTTACATGTATTGCACATGATTATGGCTTTTCTAAACTTTTAGCATGATGTTGATAATTTTTCAAGAGAAAGGGAAATAAAATAACAAAAACATCCATTAAAGATCAAATCAGTTATTAATATCATCTAGTTCATATAACATGCATATATATTGAACATCATAATAAAGCCACACGGAAAAGTCAACCACAGTAAATTTGTTTACATGATGAGGAACAAAATGGAAATGTAACATGGTGATATTAATTCATTCAAGACAATAAAATGCTAGAGCATGAATGTAATTGAAAATTAAAATTCCATAGTTCTCCAAGTCCAATGATCTAAGAAAAAGTTGACCAAAAATCGTCAAACTTTAAAATTTTCATTGAAAGTCAAGCCTGTGTTGTAGGCTCTTCACATTTATTTGTTATGTCTAATTTTAGAAAAGTTAAGCTATTCAAGTATATGAATCACAGAAATAGAAGTTCACGCATATTTGAAAGCATTTCATTTATTAAAGCTACATCTAAGTTAAACAAGCAACATGTGACATGGTGGTGCAAGAGCACTGATGGAACAGGCAAGAGAAATAATATGAGGTAATTTAGTTTAGAAAACATTCAACAAAATAGTGAAATACAGCTGTAGACAAGGCTCCTATTAGTATTCACATGGACCGACTCAACTACTAACATAATAATAGACTTCTTGAGCCTCTAGCTCTTGTAATTAACAAATTTCTGTATTCACTACTTACACCCCACATCGTTAAACTATTCTTTTTCCCTTTCTAAACCCAAATCATATAAACTTAAGCATTTTCACATCGATGATCAGTGGCGAATTTCCCAAACATTAGCAACATAAACCCATCTTTCCACTTCCATCCCTTTCCTTTTTGCTAAGTTGCTTCACTGGCTTGTCAACGGAACTGTTGCTCTTGGAAGAACCAATCCCAAATATTGTTTTATCTAGACAAACAGTATGACTTTGGTTTGGCTCAGTAGTGAAAGTTTTGGCATTAGAGGAGGCTGAAGGAAGATAACTAGTGTAATCTGGAAAAGGGACACTAGGCTTCTTGGAGACTAAGGAAGTGAGACTATGAAAGGCCAGAATTGCAGTCTCCTGAAGACATACCAAGTACATTAGACAGGCTACTAGGCTTTAAAAACCTTATCAAAGTCTCATTTTCAGAGTGTGTAAACCACCAAGAAAGCTAGTTCTTCAGGTAATTTGATCCCCGATAAGAGTTCTTCAAACTTGCCCTGATATTTGATAAACATGTCTTCCTGCTTAATTCCTTCTGTGATAAGTAATCAGGGTTCAATGTACAATTGCCCTAAGATTTTTGACCTTGAAGAACTGTCGCAAATTGAACGTGACTTGTGGGTTTGGACCTAAAGTGTGGATATTGTTTGAGATTAGAAATTGCAACAGCTCTTAACACCTAAAAAAACCTTGCATTCATATTTTTCAAATAGTCCTGTTCACTGAACTCTGAACACTTCATCTTCATGACAATTTCTGGAGCCAATGAAGAGCACTACCTTCAAGATGAACACTCATCAGCCATACATGCTAGTCCAGAGGTGTCTCATCTAACACTAAAGAATCGCTTGCATTTGTAAGACCAGCCAAGGAAATCAGTACCATCAAATTTTGAAAATTTGATTCAAGAGTTTCACTGGAAAATAATAGTTGTTATAGTTGCTGCCAGTAAAGGAACTGAATTGTGGACAACAATAGGTGTCGAACTCTCTTCATTTTCCAACTTCCTCCATCCTTGTGGCCATGACCTGTCGGAGCTGATTGTATCCGTTTTGAAGCTATACCAGATAACAGCCTCCATGCACAACTCAGGCTGCTTAAGGCTGTGCATCTCAATGGATGCTGCTCAAGACTCAGTTTGAAAAAAAGAAAGAAAGAAAGAAAGAACAAAGAAAAAGAAAATATGTTTGATATCTCGTACGTGATCCTAAGAGCAAATGTCATTGGTCAGGGTGGAATGAATGTCAATGTAGAGAAAGTGCTCTGATACCAAGGTGGTGCAAGAGCATTCATGGAAGTGAGAGGATTCAAAATAACTCTATTCAGAAGGCCGCTCACATGGATCCACCATACTAACAAACTCAAAAATAGACTTACTAAGCTTCTCACTCTTGTATCTAATCATTTCACTTGCTACTTATTCCCCACAACATACATTGTCTAAATTTGATATATTGTGTAAGGGTGATATGAAATTCCCAAGAAAAAGTACCATGCCAAAAAGAATGTTCATATATTAAAAATCTCTAACAATCCAACCTTCTGAAAGAATATAAACCATTCAGCAGTATATTGACAAGCACAAAGAAGTTACAAGAATGATTAGTAAGAACCTACTTACATTATCAAACTCAACTGATATGTGGGAGTGTTCACCCATGAACCAAACCTACAAAGCAAAGCATATAGTTCAGTTCTGCTGGATATGGATACAAAGTACAGCCATAAAGAGCATGCAAATTTAACTAGAAGAAAGCATGTATTACATCAGTGCTTGTTAAATCCATTTCATTCCAAGTTCTCAATGTAACTCGAAGATCTTAAATCTCAAAAGCAAGAGAAGATCAGATGAATGAGAAGTGATGAGATAGCCATTAATATAAAGTAAGTAATGACCTAAGCTTTTCACTGAAAAGAAAGTATGCATCGACTGTGTTGATTAGGGGGGAAATAGCATTGGATGTTGAGGAAGTAGACAACAGGATTTAGGGGCTAAGATTCATCTTCCAAGTGCACAAAAGTCAACACTAATGCTAACCGAATATGAACATCATTAGAAACAATGGAAAAAAAACAAAAGAAGAAGGTTCTTTGACTATTAAATATGGACTAAGATTTACAAAGTAAATACTGGATAGTTGAAGATACAACAAAAAACACAATAAAGGAGAGATAGAGATGAGCCATTGTAAAATAGTGAGGAAAAAAATGCAAGCAGGAGAGTCAAAAGTGATGTAAAGGACACCAAGGATGATGTGTGCAAGAGGTAAATACGTGACTTCCATAGATTAGCTAAATGTAGCTTTGTATAGGACTAATGTCAGAAACATATTCAAGGGTCATTGTCGCTTGTGTTCAGAATGCAGAGAGAAAATCTTAGACCTCAGAAGATTTAGGTAATTTGTGACCAGAGAGGCATGTGCTTCTGAAAGATAATTCTTTCATGAATTTGAAAAATGATATTAGTAAAATTTAGAGTTATGTGTGTAGCAGAACTATATCCTCAAAGGTTTTATGTATTGGGAACTAACAGAATACAAAATATAATTATGTCAAAGAAGAAAAACATATTCAAATTCATTTCATACTACCATGAAGCTCATTTGATTGCCCCCTCACATGTAAACCACAAAATTCAAAATGCTGTTCTCGAAGAGAAAAAAATGGAATATAAATGTTTTAAGATAATGGTGGCGAATACCATTGATGAGAGGACTTGCAAACCAGCTGAACGTAAATTTCTTCCCCTGTCATCATCTCCTACCTCTTGAGCTAGTTGACATAGTTTCAGGATAAAACCTTCTAAATTGAACAGGTAAGTTCCATCAATCTACAAAATTTCGGGAAAAAACATAATTTAGGGGGGGAAATCAAAATTTATGTTTTTTATTATATCAGCTGAACTTAAAAATTGTAACTATTGAAGAACCATTAAGACCAACCTGATTATTTACAAAATCAAAGAGAGTATGACATCCTATAATTCTTATCTCATCTTGCCGTGTTTGATCCAGCAAAGTGTGAATAATATTTAGCAAGCTACTTGCAAATAATGGCCTACCAGAAAACAAAGAATAAAGCCAGTGTTTGTGTTAATGATGCAACTTAAGATCTGTATGAAAACGATAGCTGCAATAGTTTAGAAGCAGATTAGGAAAAACAAGAATTACACCCCACATCATTAATCTGAAACATGCACTAGTGATTTTTCAACAAATGCGATGATGTTATTATACTTTCTTACACCACTTACTTTCGGCTGTGTAATGCAATAATGCATACAGGTGAGAAACATATTTGATAATTGCACTTTCTCATATCTTCCCAAATTTAACCAGTGCCAACCAATCAACAACAGGAAATGTGCTGCATTTCCACCAAGATCTTACCCTCCTCCCCCCTTGTTTTTATTTAGTTTCTTTTTTCCCCTCATTTATGTGAGGTAGAGAGGGAAAATAATGAGAGAAATACACTAAACCAATGTCAATAATCTCTCTCTGTTTTTTCTTTCACTTTATCTCCAATTATTTGCAGAAAAGAAAAACAAGTATACAAGATCATGACATTATTCCATTCTCAAAACTGTTAATTCATCATCATATTTTTCACTTTGAATCTGAGGATAAAAATTCATCAATAATAACATTGCTGCAGTTTTCTGCTTATTCACACTGATAAACCCTAACTAAACTGATAATACGAAGAAGGATCTGTTTAGGTTTTTTGAATGGTAGGGTGATTGCTTGAGCTTGATAATGTATCTAATTGATTTAAATTACAAACTCAGGAGCTTCCATATGATGAATCTTTAGACGATAAATAAAATGGTGAAAGAGCAGTGGAAGTTTTTACACTTCTAAGCATCAAGTGATTCTTTAATATGATCATTTCAGGTCATAGATAAATTCTATCAACAAGACTAATGATATGATGATTTTTAAAGAGTAAATAATGGGGGAAAAGGTTACTTATCAGCAGTAAGTATACATATTGACATTGAATGTACGACTGATATTTGCAAACATAAGCAATGTATTGTATGGCAGATTCGGAAAAAAAGACAAGTGGAGTGATCAACAAAGTTAGGCCCACGAAGTTCCCTATTTGTTTCTAACTTAAGTAATGAAAGCAAGTTTTAAATGTGCACAGACAGTGAACTCTCTACGGAGTCCATCTAGGACACTGATGTGTAGGAAAAGAAAGAATAGGAAAGATAGAGGGAAATTAAGAGAAGAGAAGCAGAAAGATGCAGAGAGAGAGAGAGAGAGAGAAGAGGAGAGAATAGGAGAATCTGAATAGCAATTTCTGAATTACTTCTCAAAAACACACAGATTTCCAGGTTTACACATCCTTATATATATAGATGCTATCCTGAATGTGTTTATTCCTCTCATATCCACTAATTAACTTTAACTGTTACTAACTACTAACTAACCAATCTTTATTTATTTACAAATTACATCCCAGAAACAAATTTTTCAAAGCGCATAAATGCATCAATTCTGTTTTGTTCAAATGGTATTTAATCCTAAATAATTCAAGAAGATTTTATACAAGAAATAAGGAAAGAAGTTTCACAATAACGACAGAGAATGATATAGGGAGGGGGAAGAACATCATTAGAACAAATTTGTCTAAGCACGAGCAAAGCCATAAGCCATTCACATATGAGCATGAAGATAAGACAGATACGAACTCACATTTGCTCTTTACAGGAAAGCAGCAATTTCTGGTAAATGCACATGACTATTTTTGTCGCTTGGAAATTCTCAATACGTAGTTCCTTGTAACACTTTCGTTCAAGGGCATTTGTAATCTGATTAGCCATGGAACTTAGTGAGAATAGCAACAACCCTTGAGTATTGAAACATTTGAGCTTATTTTAATATAAAAATCAGGAAACTTTATGATCTAGTTACTGGAAAGATATTGAATAAAAAAATTTGTTAAAGAAATAGATGAAGGATATAATAATAAAGAGTTTATATTAATTATTGCATACAAAAAATTATCTTTAATTCCTCAACATATATTAGCATGATGTTATCATGCATTGGCACAAGATAGCTTTGAAATTTTATGATCATTTAGACAAAAGTAGCAGCAAATACAAGGACTTGATAGCCACAATATGCTTCATATCAAATTCAAAATTAAAAAGTCAAACCTTTTGAAAGGGGAACACTGTAAGGGGCTGATAGGCACATGAATACTATGTCTAACCTAATGAAAACCTAAAACAATGGATACCGAGTCAAGGTAAAGAAGATGAAAATGAACTAATTTCAAGTGAGGAATTTTTTTCTATAATAAATAAGTTTAAAACAGAAATTTTCACAATGATATATTATATAAACCTAAGGACACTTGAATGTTATCACCAGAAGAAGATACATCAATATCCCTTTGTAGATGTTATTTTCTTGTTAAATCATTACCTTTGGGATGCGTAAAGGATTTTTCGCAGCATACTCACATAGTTTTCCTATTTTCCTGTCGTTTGGCCCCTCCTCCTGTCAATTCATAAGGCAGCAGGCATTTTAGTGGGATAACACTAGGATAGCACAAAGAAATCAATTAAAGAGGCATTTACTTCATGCTAAGAAGGAATATTATAAGGGAACTTTCAAGAATGAAAATCTTTTGAGGCATGATTAGAAAAAAAAAATGCAGGAACATAACATCTCAATGTCCAAATTAAAAATGCTAAAAGAGGGTGCAGAAGGATGGAGGCGAAAAAGCTTCGAACTTCCAACTACAGCATGCCTCTTAGACACTTAAATCCCGTTTTGGCTCTTTGATGTGCATATTCCTGGCACCCAATCAGGGCAGATTTGTTTTAAAAAATTAAAAAAAAAAACTATAAAGCAAATATGGATCAGATGCTGTTATCATGCTGTCCAGTCTTCAGCAAGTAAGATTATATTTGACTTCAATTTCTGAGAACCACTTTAAATAGCATTAGGTTAACATGAAACTTTAATCATTGTCGATCCATCTACACCAGAGGATCAGTTCCTTCGCTTTTTTTTTTTTTCTATTACCTAAAGCACAATGATTTTACGTCACAGAAATGTGGATAAGTTCCTTGGCCTTTTACTATTAGCTAGAGGACTGTTATTTTATATCACAACAAGCATTTCTGTTTATGTAGCATGGAGAACAGAGAAAGGAAACGGGCTTCACATTCAGTTGCTGTTATCATGCTGTCTAGTCTTCAGCAAATAAGAATACATTTGTCTTCAATTTCCCAGAACTACATTAATTTGTCTTCAATTTCCCAAAACTACATTAAATAGCATAAAAGTAACATGAAATTTTAATCATTGTGGATCCATCTTAGTGCAACATCCTAGGGACAAGCAACTGCTCTTCTAATGACAATATGACATGATTAGTCATATAGAAAATCAAAATAATATGGAAAGCAGACCTGGTTACGAGGGAAAATGTCAGCAATCAGCTTCTTGTACCTCTTCACAGGCTGTCTCGACCTTGCCCGCAGTGATGGGCAGAAAAAACAAAGATTGCCACAAGCGGGCAAAACTTGACGCGAAACTACACCGGAGACCGAAGTCATGTTGGAATTCGTGCGATAAACAATTCGGCGAAGGCAAACAACAGCAATTTCGTTTGAAAATTCTCTTTCTTTCCCTTCTAAAACAATCAGAAACTCGGATTTGTACCGCAAGAAGGGAAAGAAAGGCTCAAACGCAACTCGGTACTCTCAAATTCAAACACCAGCCTGCAAAAGCAATTTTAGAAAAATCCAAAATGAAAAACCAGAATCGTATATAATAAATAACCTGTCTAGTAGGATAAAGGCTTGTTGTTGTTATTGTATATAATAAATGAGTAAACAAAAAAAAAAGGTTTGATGAAGTAAGGGAAGGGAAGAAGCTCGCACCAATGTAGAACAGAGGCTGGAAATCTCTAAGAAGTGCAAAAAACGCAGTAGAAATGTAGCATAATCTGCCTTGGATCCGAAGCTTAAGAATGAAAATAATTATCTGAGTTTTGGAACGAGGCTGCCGGAGACATCACAATTGCGGGCGAACAACGAACTGGGGAGAGATTCACAATTGCAGACGAACGACGAACTGCGGGAAACACCGCGTACCTGGCGCCTGCCAATGATGGTGGAATTTTTCCACACAATTCAACCGTTGGAGGTAGCCCCATTTACGTACTCTACATTAACTAATAATTTTTCTAAATTATGAGACGACCCCTAACTTCTTCTTCTTTTTAATTGCAAGAAAATAATTTTTAAAAAAAACTTAGAATATAAATGGAATTAATGCAGGCCAATAAATGCTCACGTTGGCGCCTCGGCGCTTCCTGACTGAGTGGCAGCAGTCTACTGTGCCTCTCTCTCACTCTCTGACTTCATACTTCGTGAAAATCAGTTTCATAATAGGCCCCGATCTTCCACGTAAGGACAAATTTTATCCCCCCAAAAAATTGCTATGAGTTTATTTCCAAAGAAACATAAAAATAAGTAAAAAGATAGTATTCAAGTCATCCTAACGGAAATGGCAAATGCAATGGTAAGAAGTGGGGCAATGATGAGAGATCAATGAAGTCAAGGGTTTTGCCAGCTGTGTTTAGCCTTTGCAATACGACGTTGCATGTTTTACGGAGGAAAAGAATGGAGTGTCTTCATAACGATAATGATCAGTAATGATGAAGGCACAAGCAGGTGATTCCACCACTCAACATGTCATGTCTTTGTAAAGGATATGGAAACTTTGGCTGGAAAGTCACAACTCTTTCCTTGCCCAGCCAGGCTGTACTTCCTTCCTTCGTATGCTTCTTCTGCAAGTCAAGAAAATAATGGTATGCGTACTCGATTAATTTGATTTAAACAAGATTACTCTCAACTAACATCATTGCAAATTATTATTATTATTAACTCCATAAAATAAAATTACGCCCAATCTATCATCTAAGTCTGCAACATCCGGGATTTGGTAATTCCATGACGATGAGGACAAGAGAAGAGCCTTGTGCAGTTAAAATCATTGAGAACTGTCATCTTCAAAAATTCATATTCAGATCCGCTTGCTATAGACAAGTGTCGCAAGAATTGGTGCATATACTCTTAAACTATGCGTGAACACTGTATTTTTGTTCGATCATTTTTTTTAATTTAATAAAATAATAATAAATAATTAAAAAATATAAAAAAATATAAAAATAAAATTTAATATTTTTTAAAATTATATTTTTAAAAAAATAATTAATAGAGTTTAATTTTATTTTTGTCCTAGATAATCTTTTGTTGATTAACATTTTATTTCTTTTAGTTCATTAAAATAATCAAAAAATATAAAAATACAAAAAGAAATACATTTTGCAATTTTAAATGCATTGAGCATTCCATATCTTCACATGAATTGAAAAAAAATTACATCTTTTGCATCAAAATTGCCACAATTTAGATTGGGGCAAACAAAAAGCAAATCACTTACTCTTCCATATCACTCATGGCATGCATTGCATCAAAATTGTTAGAATGTAAATTGGGAGCAGAAAAAGAATTGAACTTTTGAGCAAAAAAAGACAAAAAAAAAAGTCATGCATTATCCATCCATTATATGCTTAACATGAAAATCTGCCTCCATTTATATTGGGGCCAACAAAAAAAAAAATCCATGCATTACACTTCACCCCATTGCATGCATGGCCACAGAGAGTATGCCCTTTTTGGATTGGGGCAAAACAAAAATTTGCAAAACCCAGGAAAGCAAGAGAAGAAATAACAAACCTTACATGTGAGGTTCTCATATTTGCCACATGAGATAAAACCTACTCTCATACTCCTTTCAAAACCTTGTAAAGACAGGCACCCACTGAATGTCCTACATAAGTAGGCACTTTCTTAGCGTTCAAAGCTCTGTAAAGACAGGCACCGACCAAAAGCCCTACATGAGTAGGCACTTTCTTACCGTTCAAAGCCCTGTAAAGACAGGCACCGACCAAAAGCCCTACATGGGTAGGCACTTTCTTACCGTTCAAAGCTCTGCTCTGTAAAGACAGGCACCAACCAAAAGCCTTACATGGGTAGGCATTTTCTTACCGTTCAAAGCCTTGTAAAGACAGGCACCCACCAAAAGCCCTACATGGGTAGGCACTTTCTTACCGTTCAAAGCCCTGTAAAGACAGGCACCCCACCAAAAGCCCTACGTGGGTAGGTACTTTCTTACCGTTCAAAGCCCTGTAAAGATAAGCACCCACCAAAAGCCCTATATGGATAGGCACTTTTTTACCGTTCAAAACCTTATAAAGACAGGCTCCCACCAAATGTTCTATATGGGTAGGCACTTTCTTACCGTTCAAAACCCTGTAAAGACAGGCACCCACCAAAAGCCCTACATTGGAAGACACTTTCATACTGTTTAAAGCCTTATAAAGACAGGCACACACCAAAGCCCTACTTGGGTAGGCACTTCCTTATCATTTAAAGCCCTGTAAAAACAGGCACCCTTAAAGCCCAGTATCAGCTGTCACAATTCTTTAAAACCTTGTAATAGCAGGAACCTTAAAGCCCTGTAAATACATGCACTCACTAAAGCCCTACTTGGGTAGGCACTTCTTTACCATTTAAAGCCCTACAAAGATAGGTACCCTCAAAGCTCAGTACCGACTGTCACAATTCTTTAAAGCCTTGTAAAGGCAGGCATCCAACCAAGTCCCTTGGAACATAAGCAATTCATCTCTATTGAGATTTTGTTTTGTTTATTTCCCAAATCACATTTCATTTTAAACCCTTTGTTTTATTTTGTTTTGTTTGTTTTTTTGTCTAGTTGTAAGTACCTAAGAGCCTTACCCCTCCAAACAAAACACATGTTTCTCTCTTCATTCATTTCTAAGATAAGAATATCATCTCATGAAATTCTCACTTACAAATCAAATGAAGAGGGGGCATCTAATCAACATATATTTTATTTGAATTATTGTCATTTAGTCTTTTCATTAGCATCATATTGCTAAAGCAAAAAAAATTATTCTATTGTGTTTGTTATCCAATAATTTTGCATCATTTGGTCATTTTGATTTGCATTCACATTGCTTAAAAAAATCAAAAAAAATTATTTTACTGTGTTTGTTATCCAATAGTCTTGCACTCTTTTATGTTATTTGGTTATTTGCATCACATTGCTAAAAAAATTTTTTTTTTACTATGTTTGTTATCCAATAGTCTTGCATTGTGTTTCGATATTTGTCAATTGGTCATTTTCATTTGCATCACATCACCACATCATGTTGCTAAAAAAAAGAAATCATTTCCTTGTGCTTGTTATGTAATAGTCTCGCATTTAATCATATCTTGTTGTGTCAAGGGCAACTAGGTCTTTTCAAAGATATTGCATGGCCGATCAAAATTCATGTTCTATCTTTACTTGTCACTTATGTAAGAATTCGAAAACACACTTTTTCATATACTTACATAAGAAACAAGTAAAGAGAGGCAACTGTGAACACTGTATTTTGTTCGAACATTTTTTTAATTTTAATAAAATAATAATAAATAACTAAAAAAATATAAAAATAAAATTTAATTCTTTTTAAGATTATATTTTCAAAAAAATAATTAATAGGGTTTAATTTTATTTTTATCCTAGATAATCTTTTGTTGATTAACATTTTATTTCTTTTAGTTCATTAAAATAACAAAAAAAATATAAAAATAAAAAAATTTAATTTAATTTTTTTTTAGAATTATATTTTCAAAAAAATAATAATCTAACAAAAAAAAGGTTAAATATTGAAAAATCTCTCTCAAATTATCTCAACCATTCAAAAAATATTGGGAGTCAACTTTTAAGACTTAACTTTTCTCCCCTTAAATCTTATTTTTTATTTTAAAATATATATGTGAGTGTGTTAATGTAATTTTTTTAAAAAACATTAGAAGCAAAATGTGTGTGTGTGGGTGTGTGTGTGTTAAAAAACATTAGAAGCAAAATGTGTGTGTGTGTAATAAGGTGGCAATGGATCATAGCCTTAAGAGGCTTCTTGCAGACACGAGCAGAAAGGTCACAAAACGGAGAAAGAAAAAAGAAACAAAGAGCCAAGAACAGCATGCACACACGAAACACACGTAGAAAAGGAAGCCAAAAATGCAAAAAAAAAAAAAAGTAGGGAAAAGCTTCTAGAGAGTAAAAAGCAGACTCACGTACAGAGAAAGAATAGAGAAGACGTGCACGGCAAAAGAGAAAAATGAGAGAACACAGCAGAGTAGAGTGAGAAAGGTGAAGCATGTAAGCTCTCTCCTCATATGCAAGCTCTTCCCTATTTCTACTTTAAAAGGGACAAGCACTGCAGAAAAAAAAACGAAGAGAGATATCTAGAAGAGGAAGCGAGAACGAGAAAAAGAACAAAGGTTGGAGCCGAGAGAGGGGGAGACGAGAATAAAAAACAGAGACAAAAAGACTGAGTGAGAGATACACAAGAAGCAGAGACAGAGAAGGACTGGAGACGAAGAAAAGAGGAAAGAGACCAAGAAGGTGGGGGGAGACTGAGAAAGAAAAATAGAGACAGAGGAGGAAGAGAAAAGGTAGAGTGGGAAAGAAACAATAGAGACAGAGGAGACGAAAAAAAGGAAGACACCGAAAGAGAAAGAGACCGAGCAGGAGAGAGCACGAGAAACTGACAGAAAACTAAAAAACAGAGCATAAAAAGAGAGTAGGAAAGAGAAGGAGTGAGAGAAGCTCGTTGCAGAAAGAAAAACAGAGCACGAGACAGATGAAAATGCAGAAACACAGCCATGCAGGGAGACGTCAGAACAGAAAAAGAGGAGGACAAGAAAGAGAAGCAGAAGGGAGCAAAGGTAGAAAAACCAAAGACGAAGAGAAAAGAAAAAGAGAGAGCACGAAAGAGTGAGGGTGATCGAGAAGGACGGCAGAAACAGAGACAGAGAGGAGGTGAAAAAAAAAGCCAGAAAAAGAAGAGTTGAAAACTGAGAATGGAGGACGCAAGAAGAAAATAAAGCACGAGGAGGGAGAAGGAAAAAAAACGAGAAGAGAGAGAAGGAAAGGAACACTAGAGACGGAGAGAAGAACAGAGAAACTTGAGAGAGAGAGAAAGCGTGGAAGGAAAGGTATCTCGATAAAACTCCATCCTTCTTCTCGACTTGGTGCGTCTAAAAGTTTGGAAAGGAGACTGAACTTTACCTCTTCTTCTTCACATTCTGAATCACTCTGTGGCCGATGGTGGTGTGTGTGCATGTGCTCGGTCTTCATCTCCTCATCCTTTCTTAGTTACAGGCATCGCGGGAGTGTACATAAAGTTGGTTCACTCCTTATTAATTGCTTATGTGAATTTATATTCAAATGAATAATTTTTGAATATACATATTTTTTTATGTTTATATGCTAAGCACAAACATCAATTTTTAAAACTTGAAGTAGGAGATTTTGAGAATTTTCACAGGCATTTAATATGATCTCATACCGTGAAAATTAATAGGATTTCGCAGGTATGAGAATCAGTTTGGTAGGTACTTATATGGGTTCTAAAGACCCATTATTAAAATTAACTTTCTTTTTATATTTAAGTCTCATGTGAGATTTCAAGAATTTTTGTAGAGAATTAAATTAATTGCCTTATCGTGTAGGATAATAAATCCTTACGGATATCTTAATTCTTAATTTATATGAATTTTGTAAAAAATAATAAACATTTTTATACTATTAATTAATTAATTTAATAAATTTAAATTATAATCATATTTTTCAATTAGATCTTTTAGTTATATGAGATTTTTGAATGTCTATAGACATCTAGAATAATTATCTTACCGTAAAAGTCAATAAGACTTTGCACGTATAGTAATTAAGATTTCTATATTTAAAAATATAAGTTATATAATTACACATTAAAATATACTTAAAATATTTACACTATTTCACTCATTTATCATGAGAGATTTTAAAATCTCCGTAGATATTTAGAATGACTGTATTATCGTATGAGCTAATAAGGCTCTGCAGGTATAGCAGTTAAATTTTCTAAAAAATAATAAAATATGAAAAATAATTTTAAAACTCTTTTCTCTATTTCAAAAAAATTCAAAAATTAAGAAAATGATTAAAATTAAATCACTTTTTTGCAATTTAAAATACACACATCAAAAATTTTAGAAATTGTTTTGTTTGCAAAATGGTGAATTATTTTTAATTAATTTCTCTTCAAAAAAATATTTTTACCAATAATTTTTAAGCTCGAACTATATGAACTTTGATTTCTATCACAAGGTATGTAGGCCTTAGAGTCAGATTTTGAGTCAAGTCCTCCCTCATAAATAAATAAATATTTCTCACTTAATTCTTATCATTTTTTAACAAATGAATATAAAAGGGGATAATTAAAATAATCATAAAACTATGTTAATAGAGCATAACAAACTTCAGGTAACCGTTCTAATGAATGGGTGTTATGAGGTGTCTAAAACCTTCACCACACTCAATTGGCTCCCAAATTTATTTTTTATTTTTACAAACCATTCTTATCTATCATTAAACAGTTTTTCAAAATTTTTCTTAAAATTTTGGTGACGACTTTCATTTCTTCGGTCTTCTTTTCGGAGGCTGAAACCTTCACTATCGCACCGTCCACGTTGCATTTTCGGGTGCGACACCATGTAACTAAAGAAACTACGCAGTATAATGTCTGCAAGTTAATCCTGTATCAACTATGCACCTACGATCTCGAAGTACCGCCATGATCCCTCTCAACATGCTCCACAAGGGCCACCGGATCTCAAAAGCCTCGACGACACTTAGGACAGACATCAACCGTCACCTTCTTCCCACCATATCGATCATTGCCGTTCCTTTCATGAGCTTTCCGCGCGTGATTGACCAGAGCACTGATTGAAGAAAACTTGGCACCACATCGAGGGCATTGCTCCGTCGTGCCAGTTCTGTTACCGCCACTAGTACTGCTGTGTGCCGCCCCATCTGTTGCAGGCTGCCAAGCCTGGTGAATTTCGCCTCAAAATTTTAAAATGCCTGCTTCAGCTGAAGCTCTGATGCTAGAAGCCACGTTAAGGAAGCTAGTTGTCCATTTAGAGGATGTGGTTGAAGATAAAGCGGGCTTTGAGTTTGACTCCTCTTTTATGCCAGTCGTGTTCAGAAAACTCGTGAATGGGAAGCTTGTTTCCAGCGTTCTGGGACCAGGGCATTTGTGATCAGAGCCAAAACGGTGTTTCAAACTATGGTCTACCAAGCAGTCCCTGCACTTGATGGTGTTTGAGAATACTAAGGTCTCTCTACATCCAGAGGCAGGGCACTTTCTCTTGTTCTTGACTCCCATAATTTGAGGGATCACACTCGGTGGTAACATGATCATCCCAAGCTAAGTTTGGGTCTTGATCAGGAATCAGGCTAACTCCTTTGACACAAAGGGGACAAATCACAACAGTGACACCATGGCAGTCAGCTTTTGGACAATTGTGGTTGACGTAACTACGGTGCTCCAAGCAGTATACCTGATAGCATTGCAATTCAAGCCAGAAAATGAGATATTAAAAGGCAAGGAAAATAGCACCATTGCAGATACCAATCAGACAGGACTTTGCTGAAAAACTTTGATAATGAAAAACCTGAGTGCAACTGTGATATGGGTGCCGGCATTTTATATGGTAAAGACAAAAGCCATTAAGGCACATAACAAGCCTGCCCCGCAACGAAAATATTTATTTCCATTTTATTCTTCGCTCTTAGCTTCCCAAAAGGCATTCATTTGTGCTTTTAAAGCACAAATTATATAGACCCTCCCAGCGACAAAGATTTACATAATTTTGACTTCTGAAACATAGGGAGTAATAATGAAATGTCAATTTTTGTGTCAGCCAAAAGACACAGAATTTGTCAAATTTCAACCTCTTCTTCAAGAAATACAATGTGGTTAGTTTTTTAATCTCTTATGGAGAATTCATTAAACACGATGCAGTTTAGTTGTTTTTAATAAAGAATCCGAGTTTAAGATGAATTTAAACGCCCTAACTTGCTGTGGGGAAAACTAATGCATATCAAATTAATTTATTTGACAATTCTAAGCATAAATAATACTCCACTTCTAAAACGATTACTATATACTTTATGCCCATAATCAATCAAGTGTTCAATCTAAACCTGGAAACCCGTCAAAAGCCGGAAAACACAAACCGCACCATGCAAGTTAGATGCCGTGACGGGAGCGAGTGGACTAAGCATGAAGATTTTCGAAGTGGCGAGAGAGGATTGAAAACCTTTTTGCAGCGATCGCAAGTGAAGGGCAAAAGATACAATCTTTTGCAATCATCAAGGCTGCAATGCTTTCCTAGGTCAGGGAATTCAGGAGTTCCCATCCGAAATCAACGATGAGGACGCCGCACAAAGATGCAGAAACCACCAGCAAACAATCTGGATTCCCGTCATTGGCTGCGAATCTGTGGAATTGAAAATGATTTCGACTCCCCGGTTCGGCTACAAATCTGGGGAATTGTATACACTATTCCGCAACAACGGAGTGACGGCGATGCCACCAGCCCACTACCAGGAATCCGGGCAGTGGAAGACGTTCGCTATCGCAATCGCATTCATTGTTTACAAGAGACGCTCCACAGCCCCTGTCCCGACTTCATTAAACTAGAAAATAGAACAGCTAGTTTATGGATTACTTAAATATTTTATTTAATGCCACACTTTAATTATTAATTTACCTTCAAAAACTCGTAAAACTCATTAATTTATCATCGCCTATGCGGTCCAAGAGCCCCCGTGAGAAGAAACGCTTGGAGGAATCGTTCCGCCCCGGGAAGTAGCCATTCGCATTAGTCAGTCATCCTCGGAGCCCTGAATGAATCAACATGCACGCACTGGAACCTAAATACGCGAACATTTTTTTTGGGGGGGGGGGGGGATTCCTCCATTGCAATCAATCAATTCGTTCTCAAGTGGGTAGAGGCGTCCAACTTTTAGCTTAATATATTCATGGGCAAGCATAATCGCGCGCGCGCGCGCGCTCTGAGAAAATGCATGGCAGGTAACATGCTTATGCATTCAAGAGTCAAAAAACAGTAAATAACTGGACATTCCTTCAACTGAAACTTAAAAACACCGAAACGCATGAAGAAATAATATAGGGCTCATTTAAACAACATAAAACAACACAAGCAATAATATATTTAGTCATTAGAAGTTACTATCAAAACATTCTTTCGAATGCACTGCATCTCGCACCAACAAAACTGCAACTGACAAGTGCGACACTCAAGCCTCCACCCTCTCATCCTCCAGCATCAGGGCCTTTCCTGTTGACTTGGCCAATAGATCAGTGTACTCTTGGAATGGAGATTTAGTGAAGCGCGTCTCCCTCCAGAACTCAGGTGTCAGGAACCCGTATGTTTTCAGCAAACAATCAAAAGTTGCCTGCAGATAAATAGGGTATTAGGGACGTAAACTCACACACACACATCAATGTTCATATAAGACAAGTCAACAGCTCTTGTTATTGAAGAAACTTCAGAAACATCTCGTCTAAGGTTTTGCAACTCTATAACCACTCTAGATAAGTCATTCTTTAATACAAAGCCCAAGGCAACTACAATCGGCAAAGAGTAACAATTAACAGTGAACATACTTCAGATGAACTTAATTCTCATGTGCACCAACCCAATACCCTCCCCAACATGGAGAAAAAATGGCAAATAAGATTATCATTATCAAAGGATAAAGGTTGAGGCTTCCATGCTAACAAAATAGTATGTGCAAGTGAAAACCTGATCAGCAGAGAACTCTTAAACAGAACTTCTAGTCCACAGAAATTGTCAAATTAACCGCATTTGCTCGACATGTACATGTGTAGAACTCAAAATAGCCTTTTGCAAAAGGTCGCATCATCTCAAACATCCATCGAATTCCAGGCATAACAGTATGACTAATTCACTCATTCGTTTCTAGACATATAAGAATGGTTTGAAATCATGAACATTTCTTACTACAAGTTAGCAACTTTATATTTCCCACACCATAAAGTTCATGAATTAAAATCAGCCCAAAACAAAATGAATCTAAGTTGAAAAATTCTGCGGGTAAATTAAGATCGAACCTTCACGAAATTTCCAAGTGTCTTAGTCGACCCTCTCGAAGAGGTGAATACATCCTCTATTCCCGCAAACTGCAACACCTTCTTTGGCACCCTGGCAGCAACGATCCCAGCACCACGAGGGGCAGGCACCATCCGCACAGTGACGGAACCACATTTCCCGGTAACCTTGCATGGGACTGTGTGAGGCTTCCCGATCTTGTTGCCCCAATAACCTCTTCTTACAGGAATCACCGAAAGCTTGGCCAATATAATAGCACCACGAATGGCGGTGGCGACCTCCTTACTACACTTGACGCCTAGTCCCACATGTCCGTTTCCGTCACCAACAACGACAAAGGCTTTGAATCGGGTCCTCTGACCGGCCCGGGTCTGCTTCTGGACTGGCATGATTTTCATGACCTCGTCCTTGAGACTAGGACCAACCAGGGTATCGACGATCTGATGTTCCTTGATTGGCAGAGAATGAAGGTAGATTTGCTCAAGGCTGCGAATCTTTCCCTCCTTGACAAGACGGCCCAACTTGGTCACAGGAACCCACTTCTCCTCCTCTTCGCGGCGGCCAGCGCCTCTGCGACGGCCCCCGCGACCTCGGTCACCACGTCCACCACGGCCACCAAATCCACGGCCAAAACCACCACGGTCTCCACCACGTTCGGCCATAGTTACAGGGATGAAAGAAAGCTGCGGAGGAAACCCTAGCCTGAGAGCAAGATTCAGTGGCGCGAGAGTTAAGGCCCCAAGTGAGAGATAGGATGGGTAAATAAAGGGTGCTAGGGTATTGGGTCTTGGGAGGATTTGTTCGGCTGCCTTATTAAGAAAAGCCCAGCTCTTAAGTGAGGCCCAACTCGAATAAGATACGGATTGAAATATTCCGGTCCTAAAAATTTTTTATGCTTGTTTTATGGAAAAATGAAAAAAAAAAACCACAAATATGCAAATGATACTCAAATATCATGAAATATAATAATTATTATTTAGTGTATACAAAGTATTCTGGCATTTTGGTTTTTGATGAAATAACATATTACTCTCAGTGACTATTATTCATTGAAAAATTGACTACTTTAGTTGGAGAAATGATTAAAATGAAATATAAAATGACTATTTTTCATTTTGAAAATTTATTTTATCAATCAAGTGGCATTAAAATAATCATTTTCATTAGAGAATTTATCATTTTTGGAAATGAAGTAGTCATTTTATAATTCATTTATAAATCACAAATTATTAAAAAAGAATTAGTTGTTTTCTATTCCGTTTTAATCAATAGCTTAATAAAAGTAATCATTTCTAAAGGTATTATAATCACTAAAAATAAATATGTTATTTCATCAAAAATGAAAATGTTCACTAAGTTTTTAGGAATCACTCATTCTAATCCTATTCACAAGTCACTTTAAACTTTTTTTTATCAAAACTAAGGAAAAACATTAAATTTCATAGACCCTATCTAAAAATTTTTTAATTTTTAATTTTACTCTTTTAAATATACATACTTTAAACATAAAATATAATAACATTTAATAACATTTTCAGCAGTTAATAGAGACAAAAGAAAAGGTCAAAATCAACACAATAATCGTTGAGGTACAGTATAAATAAAATCAAACTAAATATTTTTTTTACCTTATAAATAGAACTAAAAAAGTAAATAATATTTATCATATTTTATGGTGCTTAATTGTCATTTGTATTTTTTTTTCTTTTGTCATTCTCCCCGCTATATTGTTTAACCCCCTCATTAATCAATGAGAGATATTAAAAGTAATAAAATTTATGTTATGATATAGTAAATCACTTTTATGTTACAATAAAATAAGGGCTGATTGTTTAAGATTAAAAAATAATTAATCTTTAAATAGTTTAAAAATTTTATAAAAAATTATTTTTTAGGGCTTCTAAAAAATCAGAAATTATTTTGTGCTTGATTACAATAAAAAAATATTTTTTTAAAATGAATAATATCTATTTATATAATAAAAGATTACACATATAATAATTAATTTGAACTGTGTCTGCCATTCCACTGCGCAGGGTCTGAAAACATGCTTTCTAGTCGACCCGATGAAAAAAAGGGTGATGAATCCTAATGGCTTTTGATTCTCACTGGCTAGCACAAAATAGGTAGCCTCTCCTTGACCATTCGTCTCCTCTTCAACCTTAGCAGTGGGCAAGTCCAGGTCTTCATCATTTTCTCCGCATCGGCCTTCTTCAAGATGGTGCGGCGGAACAATGGTTTTTCCCTTGGAAGTGGTGGGATAGGCGACTCAATACTCGAGCATGCTCAGCAATACCGACTTGAATTTCGGGTCAGCATATGAGCCCTGATTTTCCATGGCTAGACTTTGACATGGCAAGTGAACGAGGTAGATAGCCATGGCCCATGGGGACGGGGAAGAACAACCTTTCAAAATAGAATGCAGAACGCAAAGGGGGTACGTCGTGAAATTCGCCGTGCTTTTAACTCTCTTCTCTCTCCTCTACCGCAGGACTTATTTTGAAAAGCCACCCAGCAGCTTTTTCAAATAATCAAATATCCAATTATTTTCAGATTTTGATTATCTTCAAAATCTTAAACAAACACATTAAAATTGTCAAAAGTGATTTTTTTAATAAAAAATATTTTTTTCAAAAAAAAAAAACAAACGAGCCCTAAATTGCTAATTACGATAAATTCTAGCCCGAGATAGGTTCAAAAAGTTCAACCACCTTTAAATAATCGTAAGCATACGATCCTAACAAAAAAAAAAATTGTAAGCATACGAATCACTGTTAAAGCAATGACATTATTACGGCCACATTGTATCTAAATACGTACATGCCTTTAACGATCGAGTAATGCATCCGGATATACAGTGGATGCAGATATCCACAATAATCGTACACGATAACGAGGTATAATTAAATGATGGGGTCGTGTGTTTGTCATGCTTGTGGGCAGAGAGGGCTTACGTGTCCGATGTGGGACACTTGAACATTGTCGCATGAAGCCTTGGAAGCTTCTCCTGATTCTAGTTTCAAGTCAACGTTCTGCATTACAATCCCTTCGCACGGAAAGATCTCGCTGCAATCAAACGTCACTCCTACTTCTGAAGCACTTGTACCTTTTATGTTCCGGTATAACACATCCTTGATTTGAACCGCTGAGTACTGCCAAACCAAACTCATTAGCAACGGTCTCATTAACACTGAATCTGAAGGACACGTGTGCGTGCGCGTGCTCATCTATTTACCTGCTGTTTGCATGGAACCTTCTGGTCACAGTAGTTCTGGTTTATTATTATGGGGTTGGTCACATTGTTCATCTCTATGTTCTGGAACTTGATGTTGCTTGCACTTCCCGACCCACCCTACACGTACAATTAAATTATGCCGTACGGGATTTATCAATAAGAGAGCAACACCAATTCAAACGTCCGCAGGTTTGCAATACCTGCCATGTCTTAATTCTGACTCCATTTGTGGTTCCAGATAACTTAGCCCCATTTACTGTTATGCCAGAAACAAAAGCTTCGGTTTGTTTGGCCCCTAAGCTTCCAATGCTGAGATTCATCGTTGCCAATTATTTTCAAGTTTCAGTGAATAAATTGGATGCTGCGGTGTTGTCGAAATTGATCGGAGACTTTGGGTTTTAAATAAATCAAAAGTAATAAATTACCTGATACCATGGCCCGGTCCGCAGGTTATATCGGTAGCTTGTACATCCTGAGATCCGCTTACTATTGATATGCAATCATCTCCTGCGACGTAATATTCCAATTCCAAACAGTGATTATATAATTAAGAAGCTGAAACCTAAATCTTTGCATATAACTTTTATATGATAAAAAAATCCGAATTATGCATGGGGCAGCAGCACCGGCACAAGTGCCATATAAAACAGAGTTGTTAGCCTTAAAGTTAATAGTTCAGTCTAATCCTCAAATATTTATCTTGTCAAGTAAAATAATACCTCTAAAACGCATTTATGAGTTCTTTCATATAAAAATAGATTTATTTCAAGGGCTGAGGATATTTCAATAGACATGTTTTATTACTTTTCCCCCTTTTTAGGGTAATCTGTTTTGTTACTTGACCGGGAAGGATTTTGGTTCTAAAAAAATACTCCTCCGCTCCTCTTTACATGTCATTGACTTATTTTTATTGACTTTATTAATACCAATATAAAAAATATAAAGAATAAAAATATATAAAACTCTAAATATGTTCTTATATAATAAATTTTTTTAAAAAAATTTCTCTCGAATAATTTTAAAAATATATTTCAAATATTACCTAAAGTCGTACCGTGATTTATAAATGAAACTTAATAAACTTTTTAAATTATATTTTATAATTAGGACTGGAGGGAGTAGTGAGGATTAAACTAAAAATAATATGATATTACATTTTTAACGCTACACACACATGTTCTGCTTACAAACAACAATTTCTGTGACCGCTAGAAAGTGGCTTTTTAAGAAATAATTAAGGAAATTAAATTACGTTTGAAGTACGGAATTGAGAATAGAGGAATGATTTCAAACAGTTGGCCAAAAATATTACCAGTTCTTATGACAGAGCTTGAGATTTGGATGTTTTGTGTGTTGGTGATATGAATTCCATCTGTGTTAGGACTACCCTCTGGTGCAGTCACAGTGAGACCCGAAGCTCTAACGTATGAGGAGTCCTGGAACGATACGTGCATTTTCTGTGCATTCTTTATCGTCAGGTTCTTAACCACCAAATTCTTACACATATAGAACGTCAGAGCCTGCAACCATATATATAAACAATCAAAGTAGCCATCAAAACAAATTTGGAATTAAGTAATACACCCATAATACACCCATAAATGTATGCGTACCGTAGGGGCATTCTTGCAAGGCTGCCGGAGGAGAAATTAAAAGGAAAAAGAGAGGCATATCAGATCAGCAGTTGAATAAGATTATGTGTATGTCACATGGAAGCAGCTTATACACATAATGATATATTGGGCTTTTTTGATGGCTTACGAGTTTCTTGTTCCTTTTGCATGAGTTTTGCCACCATATGTTTCCCTTTCCATTGATGGTACCATCACCTTCGACTGATAGACTCTGGACAAACTTAAACTCAAGCCAATGTGTGGGATCATGACTGTAGTCTGAAGGATTATCAGACGCTTCAAGCACTCCAGAGATCTGAAACAAATTTATGACATATATTGCATATATAGTTGTAATCTTTTTAACTCGCCATTGTGACTAACCTTCACCGTAATGGCAGATTTGCATGGCCCAGAGAATCCTATTGGCTTGAGTAGATAATTCTGCCGAGGCACCACGAGAGAAACTGCTTCTCCAGAAGAGCATGCAACCTTCCAAGCCTTCTTGAATGCCTGAATTAGAACACATGCCGGCGATAAGATAAAAAAAGGCCAAATTTTATCAGAAAAAAAGTAGGCTAAAGAACAAGAAAGGAAGGTGAATATACCTGTGTGTCGTCAGTAGTACCATCCCCTATAGCTCCGTAATCATTGACATTCACTTTGTTAGGCGAGAGAGAAGGACCAACCAACTGATCAAATCTGTTCAACCTCAAAACATCTGGGCTTTGCCTGAGCAAGTTCTCGAATGTCCCACCACCACCATTGATCGTATTAGGTGAATCATCAAAATATGCGTTGTGTGGGTCCTCTTGCAAAGTGCTATAACGACCAACAAAAGAAATTATGATGAAGAACGATAAGACATGCTTTTGGACGGCCATTGCTCAACTTTCCCTTTGTACGTAAGAAACTAATCGATCCTAATGGCCAGCTGGCTAGCTTGTTACTTGCTAGCCTATATTGAGCTTATGGGAATGTCACGAGTATTTATAGACACAGAAAAACGTCTGCATTCGGTGCTGCTCTTCACGGCGTAGTCAAATTCGTACCTTTCATTCCACTCTAAAATGATCTGTTCATTTAAATTAATTTTTAAATATTTTAAATATTATATTTATTAATATAAAAATTATAAAATAGTTTAAATATTAAATATGGATCATCTTTCGTACTCGTCCAAAAATAAGCATCATGTTACCCATCATTTCCTATGAGATCTATACCATCTAAATTTAAAATTTTTAATTTTTAACTACATTTATCAAAACAGATATTTATAAAAATATAAAAAAATTATCAAATTTTTTTATCACTAATAGGGCTAATACTGATTTAATTTGACAGGTTTAATTTAATATGAAATTTTTTTTATAATTTTATTTAATACCACACTTTAATTATTAATTTACCTTCAAAAACTCGTGTGAAACTCCTTAATTTATCATCGCCTATGCGGTCCAAGAGCCTACGTGAGAATAAACTCTTATGGGAATTCCTCGGTCGCAATCAGTCAATTCGTTCTCAAGTGAGTAGAGGAGTCCAAGTTTTAGCTTAATATAGCTTCAGGGGCAAGCATAATCGCGCGCACTTGCAACGGGTAACATGATTATGCATTCAAGGGTCAAAAATCAGTAAATAACTAGATATTCCTTCAACTGAAACTTAAAAGCACCGAAACGTATGCATGAAGAAATAATATAAGGCTCATTTAAACAACATAAAACAACAAACAAGCAATAATATATTTAGTTACTAGAAGTTACTATCAAAACATTCTTTCGAATGCACTGCATCTCGTACCAACAAAACTGCAACTGACAAGTGCGACACTCAAGCCTCCACCCTCTCATCCTCCAGCATCAGGGCCTTTCCTGTTGACTTGGCCAATAGATCAGTGTACTCTTGGAATGGAGATTTAGTGAAGCGCGTCTCCCTCCAGAACTCAGGTGTCAGGAACCCGTAGGTTTTCAGCAACCAATCAAAACTTGCCTGCAGATTAATAGGGCATTAGGGACGTACACTGTTATAAATAAATAAATATATATATATATTTATATCTCAATGTTAATATAATACAAGTCAGCAACCCTTATTATTGAAGAAACTTCAGTAACATTCTCAGGTTTTGCAACTATAAGTCATTCTTTAATACAAAGCCCGACTGCGATCAAGAAATTCGTGTTCTTTTCTTTCTTTGACTCCACCATCAAGGTTTTAATTAATTAATTCATGGAATCAGTGCATATATCAGCTCGCTGCCTCTAAAGCGATAGATTTTAAGAGTTTCAGTTATATTTATATAAATTATTGTAAGATGGCTAATTTTATGGTTCACCATGCTTTGGGTTGCATAACACAAAAGTCCACTTAAATAATTGGCCTGGTCTCATCATTTCATGTAGAATATTTTTAGCTTGAACAAAACTACATGGGTTAACAACACAAAACAATAAAGCCAAATCTGATCTCAATAACAGATCAATATTAACAAAGAGATCAACAGCATCAATCTACCCTTAACTAAAGGGTGATGAGAAGAGGTTACACAATATACCTCCCCTCCCTCAATACAGCATACTCAATATGTAGGATCTAAGGATCAAATTAGGTAATTAACAAATTAACTACCTTGACTAAATTGAGCTTCCAACAAATATATAATCTGCATAAATTAAATAGCTTTTCCCATTTGGCCTAATCTATACTCCAAAATTAATTGAGATGTTTCCTTTGTAAGAATTATGGATATATAGACCATAATTACTTCATATAATTATAAGCACACATATAAAATATAAGAATGTGTATTCAAAGGAAATCATCATATGAACTAGGACTATGGATGGTGCTGCCGTGCTGGTATTGATTGAAATGTTCCCATCCTTTCTCTGCGTAATCATTTGGGATTTTGGATATCTGGTTTAATGGACTTACGTGAGATGGTTCTTAATGCATTTTGAAGCCACTGCATGGGATCTTACGCTTTTCAGGTTTCACGACAAAGAGAATCTAAATATGACGTAGTACGCTTAGAAAAAAGTAATCTCATGAGTCATGATTGCGATAGGGGAAAAGTAGATCGGTGAAATAAAGAGAAGCTATAGTTCGTCGGTCGGGCTTGGAAGGTTGGAGTAGAAGAAATTGGTTTTTTTCCTTTGAATACCGTAACTTCACGTGGCCTTGAGTTTCGCAATTCCCTGATCACATTCCAGGATATCTTTTTTATTCACGTAACGTTTTCATCATGGCAGAATTGACTTAATAGAAAAACCCAAGTATGGGATGAGTTAGGCAACGTTCCGTTCGTGATCAAGTAGGTTGCATGGCGATAATCTATTGGTGCCGTTAGGCAAAGGAGGGTATAATCTAAATGAAGGATCATGAGTAATATAATGGGGATCATAAACTTGTATTGCTGGAGCTCATCAAGATTAATCATGATATTGATATGGACTAATCAAACACATATAACAGCTAAGCTAGCCACCTTATCATTTGGCAACTTAGCTACGTTAAGAAATGTTCTGCGTTTCGTATTAGATGCGTATTTCTTCATGATCCTGCAAGTATTGTTGCAATTTTCTCCAAACGTTGAAATCTAACGTTTAGTTTCTAATATATAGACGCATGCATAAAGTTATTTCCAAAGGCTCTAGTGTGAGAAAGAAGCCTCACTTGGAAGAAATAAACAAAACAGACAATAAAAATTATGCAAGCAGATTATCCCATAAATAATTGCAAATAATATATATCTGTTGATGTCCCATAAAAATGAAAGCGCTGCCTGCCGCCTTATCTGCTACATATTTTCATTTTTCTTCATTTCCGTAAAGGCCTAAAAATTCTCTATTGCAGGGCTTGTCGCCATTCATACTGGATCCAATCTCAAAATCGGCCCATGTTATATACTTCGTTGTTTTAATTGGGCATACCCCTATATCTCATCTCAGCCCACTTGTTTTAGTATATACCAAAATCAATAAGAATCATGTATTGGACTTGGTCATTCTCTTGATGAGCCTAGCTTTTATTGATCAGGAGAGAAAAATCAGCAAGGTGACTCACTATTACAAAGGTAACGATAACTTTCCCAAATGCAATGCTCAAACTTGGATGTGAAGAACAAGCTGTCTATTCTCCTCTGCGGCAACCGAGAGGATGAAGGTCATGAATCCACTTGCTTCCTCATCGTTAAAGTATGTTTCAGCGTCACCAACCACACACTTGAGTGGCCTCTGCGAGCAGTACACTCCAGATCTCCCACTTCCCTTCACTCTGAGCCCTATACTTGCTGGTTTTTAGTGAATCTCAACCTGCCCCACTGCTCCTCCGTTGTTGAACATGTCCATTAGCTCTATTGCTGCAAATGAAACACTAGGCGCGATTTCCTGTCCACCAAACATTACACTCGTTGATATTGCTTACTACATGGATATCACGTGGTAGTGACACAGATAAAGAAAGAAAAAGAGGATTACCTTGATTGGGCAGAAATGGAAAAGTTCATACTCCAGAACTTTAAGTGTCACCGGAACTGAAGCCCCTTTTGGTACCTTGATCACTTCCCCTGCAAGGTATATGGATGGATGCGGGATGTTCTTCTCAGTTCTCACGAAGCATCATGTGAAGAAAATTGAGCGTATAAAAATGAAGGGTATATATGTACCTGATCTGAAGGCATAGACAATAGCCTGCCCATCCCAATCAGAACCAGCCACTTGAGCGATGAGATCAATACGTGTCTTTTTTTCAGTCCTGCACTAACCAGCATCCTGGCAATTAAACACACCCACCACTCCGCGGCATTTGTTCATGCTCCATATTTTCAGCAAGTGCATTGCACATACATAACAATGTAGGCTTAGCTTATAGACCATCTATTACAAAAACTATACCCACTTGCGGGATTATTTCTTTTCACATATTTGTTCATGTTCCATATTATATTATGTCTTTTCAGAGAATGGAAGAGGCTGACAAAACCTAGTCCTGTCTCTTGCGGGATCGACAGAGAGAGAATCAATCGTGGGCCTCCCAGGTAACTGAGCCCGCAGAACTGATCCATCAGGCAGAACCAGCTTCTTTAGAAGTTCGAAATTGTGTTGTCCTGGCTTATCACTGTAAATAAACACAACATTGAAAACACAGTTCATTTCGTTTTCATCCCGGAATATACAAGACTAGATTTGCACTGGACGTCAATCTCATATACCCCACATAAACGGCACACCCACCAATTGCCGAAGCTGCAGCGTGATACTCTGTCACCAGATGTAAGCTCTGTAAAAGCAAGGGGAAAAAACCATGCATGCAAACACCACTGTCAAACCGAAAACCTCACTGTCTAAGAAAATTCTTAGGATCGATCAAGAAGATTCCAAAGAGGTAAGAAGAGGTGGCATAAGATTATAATCACGTGTTAACCTACACATTTGAATTCTTGAATGAGTGCATTAACCGTGCAAGAGCCATTAAGTTGAACTTACATGAAACATATCCCAGTCGGGTTGCATAAACTCTCCGAGAGAGAGAATTATATATGGGCCACAGATGAAACATGGATGGTGTGAGAAGTAGGATCGTCTGGGTAAAAGTCATCAGAAGCTCTCAAAACGGCGGTTTGTTCGGCATTATAAATGCCATCAGTATTATGACACATGCAGGCGATGCATCCATTATCAGGAAAGTTACGAGCAATGGAGGCCCCGAGCGCCTGGATGTAGCTGCACGTTAGGAAAACTCTTTCTCCATAACCAGAGCCAAGGGTTTCGATGATGTTCTGCATATCCACTTTGACTCCATACTCCGCACGAAACCAAGTAGGCATGGAGCTCGTTGTAGAAATCGAAAACCTTTTATGGGTGCACGAGTCCTAAACCATATACGGACAAACTGTCCATGACGGTGTCTGGTTGGAGAAGAGAAAATAAAGTTTG